GTAAACCCACAGCAACATTTACAATTTTGAGGACTGTGATGTTTGGTCGGTAATTACAACCGGCCTCATTGTAGTGGTGTAGTGGCACTCAGGTGTCAGTGGCCCAAGAGGAAGACCTAAACCAGATGCTGTCGTTAGTTTGCGTATTCCCTCCATGTCCCGTAACCGTCCCACTGCTGCCGATGGTCCTCTGGTCTGTGGTTGTCCTTTGCATAAGAGCTGCTGAGTTTAGTAGGCTTCACCAGCTGAAATGAAGTATTGAGTCTGAGATGGGGGGGGGGAGTGGTGGGGGTGTATGAATGAACACACCGTGGAGTTGGCATTGCAATGTGCACCGGCTGCAGAGACCTGGCAGAAGGAAGGAAGCGATGGTGAGGTGTAGTGGCACTGGCTGTGGTGACCGCTTGGTCTTTCACGAGTGATGGCGTTTATTTATTCTCTTGGGTTTTATTTATGGACACGATCATCAGCCCAAATAACTGTAATCAGACTTACACGCAGATAAATACCGTATATAAATAGCTCATTTTGTTTAGTTCTCCTGATCCAGGTCTCTGAAAATGAGAACTGTGAGGTTGACTTGGCCTGGATTCAGTTTGTAAAATTATACCAGAAATTGAGCTTCTACTGTGCATTATGTTCGTTGTATAAATGTCAGTGGCACATGCCTGTACTCCAGTGCCTTGGAGGTCAGGTGGATAGGTCAGGTGAATATTTTCCAAATGTGTTTGACACTCCCAACCTCTCCTGGGCTGAGGTGGCCAGGAGACAGCAACAGAATGGTTTTCTGGCCTCTTTGTGGGGAGTTTTGACTGTTATTGTGGGTATGGCATAGACTCTCACTCTGTTATGGATTTGGCCAAACATCACATTGCAGGATCATCTTGAAAAAGTCTTGAGACCCAGTGATGATTTCCTTTTATTTTATTCGAATTATCAACAACTACAATAACAACGACACAACAGTGCAGTTAACCTGAGTACATATACATTCCGCAATCCAGTGTGCAAAAGGGGGTTCAGATTTTCCCCTGCACTGCCCTACGGAATGAGGAGAACCCCATATGAGGATATCCTGCTCTTAGAAAGGTGACCGTTAGTGACAGCAAGGGATGGCGCACCAATTAACAAAGCGATTTAAAGGACGACAATGGGGATGTCTGGCCTTCAAATCCGATGGGCGTTGGAATACATACCCAGGTCACTCTTTGCAAAATGAGACTTATCCCGGTCTCTTGAGTTCCCATCTGGTTAAACAATGTAAACCTCACTTGACGTTTAAAAAGAAGAACAGAGGATGGTAAAAGATATAAAGACGACCTGTTTATGAGTTGTGTTTACGCGACACAAATTCAGGCCAAAATACATCTGGATGAGGCATGGGAACCGTTCGTATAAAATAATTTTGACGGTCCCACGAGAGTTTCCAGATGACTCGAATGATACCGTGGTGACTGCGCGCCAATGGCATCCGGCTGGTCACGCGTTGGGTGCTGAATGGGAAATAAAAAACTCCCGAACTGTGCGGAGGGGTTTCCCCCCCCCTCCCCCGACATTTTACTGCTGTTGCATTGCTTCTGTATCGTGAGGTAGTTAACATATCGGTGGCGAAATGTGAACTACCTTGCCTGATATGCAGAAGGTCGTGGGTTCAATCCCGACCCTGACGCCTGTATATTTGGAGTCTGCAGGTTCTCCCCGTGGTCATGTGCATTTTTCTCCGGATCCTTCGGTTTTCCCCTCCGCGATTATTATCATGCGTTTAGAGTAATGAGCTGCTATAAATTTCCACATGATAAACCGTTGAGCTATCATTTGTGGTCAGGTCGCTTCTGAAAAAAAGCTATATAGTTTGGTGGGTCTTACCTGCTAAAATACTAAAAATAATTGTTTATATTTTAAATTCTAGAAAATTATAAGTAAACCGAAACAAATACAGTGTTCCCCTTCTCATGCCCTTGCACCGCAAACGCCTTGCCCCCATAGTTCACATTTCAATTGTAGGAGCATCATCATTTCTGCTCAGCCACCCGACTGAAGCCTTTTCGTTATTGTGTAAATGCCACTTCAGAGTCTGGTTTCCATTTCAAGTATGCGTTGATTGGCATTTAACCATTCAACTCTCTCTCTCCATTCCTCCCTGTGCTTCAATGATTTGTCTTTTGATAATCACAATTCAAGAACAGATTATTGTTGTGCCTCATTTGTTCTGCTCGTTCGCTCTGTCAGTCTCAGTCGCATGATCCAATGAGCTGCTGCAGACTAGTTGGCAAGTCACAGCTGTCGGTTATGTAGTTATTACTTACAGTCACTAATAGCAGGCACATAACAAGTCGATCATTTGGCAAGACAAAGGCGATCACAAAAACATTGTCATAGTCTCGCTGGCAGGTCAAGGGACAGGTTATGAGTTAACAGACTTGAGATGACTGCCAGGGATACCACCTGTGTGCCCCAGTGTGCCAACTTGTGTACACACACACACGATAGTCTGTTGCATTTACATTACAATTCTAGCAGTTATCATAGGCAGAAGCCTGAATTTTAAGGCTCATATGAAACAGATCTGTGAAAAGAGACTAAATCAAGAATCGCCCTGCTACGGAAACTTGCAGGGATGACGTGGAACGCCTCGGCTGATGTTCTACGAACTGCCGGCCTCTCACTGATCGACTCGGTGGCAGAGTCGCTGCACTCCAGCCTGGTCCGGGAGCTCGTACACAAACTGCTAGACGTACAATTACATAACGCGGAAGACGAAAACCAACACCTATCACCTGGATCCCTGTTCTGGCGAACATTCTGCCACCAAACATATGCAGAGACATGCAAAGTGCAAAGGAGTTTACAAATGTTCTTGCCCATGACAACTTACCCATCAACCAAGACCTCAACAATGTACCTCACCACTGACTCAAGGCTATATCCCCCTTCTGGGATTGTGCTGTCACCATACTTGAATCTCGCCTAGGTCAGGAAGAACACTGGTAGAACGTTGAAACAAGGCAGATGTACAAAATAAGAACCTCATTCGAGACCCAAATATCGCAACCTCCTGGCTTTACCTTTCCTACTGGCGTAACCATCAACTGCATCAGAACATCAACAGGCCAATGTGCCACAACTTCATAGCTGAAAACATTGAAGACAAGCCACCACAGTGCGACTGTGGCCATGCAACCCCAACAATAGACCATGCAGCAAACCACTTGGTCTGCGCTCCTTCAATGGAGGATTAGCAAAACTACACTAACTCTCTCATGGAGCCCTCTCATGGCTAGGAGACCTCGACATTGACATTTAGCTCCTGAACACATTACCATACGCAACGTTGTAATTACATATCTGCATTATGCCTGGGAGGCAGCTAGGCTGAGCAATGATCACACAGCACTACCATGTCGGTGACCTGGGTTCATTCCCAGTAAATGCACAACACCAGAAGGCAAACGCTAAGCCAAGTGGAACACTTTGGTGCAGAAAAGAAGAAAAAGCAGCAGACGTAATTTTTTTTGGACACGTAATAAGAATGGAGGCCAACAAGTGGCCATTTTGCGGCCTTGCACTGCCGTGAGGAAGGAGCAGAAAGTGGAGGCCATCCACACGAGGTGAACGGACGGCGTCAAAAGGAGGACTTGACAAACCTGATATGTTGCTGCATAGGAAAGCGATCGCCGTGACTAGAGAAATCAGTGGGAGAAGTTGGTCCAGCCACGTCATCAGGTGCCGTGAATTACTGACAGGAAAAGAGAGAGCACAACAGGGAGCCGTGGCGGCGAGATGTTAACTACCTCACCTGGTATACAGGAGGTTGTGGGTTCGATCCTGTATATTTGAAGTTTGTATGTTCTCCCTGTGGTCTCGCGGATTTTTCTCCAGATATTCCCGTTTTTCCCCTTCATGTTTAGAAACGTGTTTACAGTATTTGGCTGAATAAATTTCCACATGATAATCCACTTGGTTAAGCTATCATTCGTGGCCTGGTCGCTTCTTAACAAGAGCTATATAGCTCGGTGGACCTTATCTGGTAAAATAAAAATATATTTTCTTGTAGTTTAGAACATCATTGTCAATTATTTAAACTGACCTAAGGCTTAGGATAAATCTATCTCGTATGAGTAGCTGCTACAGTTTTGTCAACCATTGTCACTTTGGGAGAGGAAAGGGCTGTGGTGCCAGTTACACCACCACCTTGCGTACTGTTCTGTCCTTGGAAGGTGTTGCTGGCAGTATTTTTTTTCTTCCGAATAGTCAACCGGGCCGAACAAAGAATCTGTTTAAGCGGTCTGTCTTGCAACCTGCGAATCTGGCCTTGCAGGAAGGAGGCCAGCACAACAAGTGCCTCGATGACATCACCACTCTTTACTGATAAATGATGCGTTGTATTACCTGCGCTTACGATGCGGCTGTGTAAAAGTAAATTACCTACAGCGAGGGTAACTTGTGGTGACGGTTAAGGGCTTGAATGTATAACTATAAGATGAGTGGTTCCCAAAGCAATTGTATACATTTATGAAATTCTGTTTATTTTCTGGCATTTATTTTAAGCAAGAATATTCATTGTTTTGTATGTAATGTGAATTAACATGCATACTACATAGTACTTAATTTTCGATTTACTTTATCAGCAATTGAATATTCAACACGCACAATCCTTTGGAGGTGGTTTTTCTGAGGCTGGCGTTCAGAATATGGATTTTTCAGGACTGGTGCAGTGTTTCCAACAATATTACCCCATTGCTGATTTAAGCAAGAAGATGTTTAGATTTTTAGAATGTCTTGTGAAAGCTTTTTGTCACAAACCATTTTCATTGGAAACCGTGCTCCTCACTGAACTCAAAACCACCATCGACGAATCAACACCGTTGCAGCCACGATCACCAGACGTCTAAAGCAATGGTTTCTTCAGCTCATCACGGAGCCTCCATTTCCTGTGCTCCCCCCCTCCACTGACTCCGTCTCATCGTCCGCGTGGTGTTGATCAAACGTGGTGTGCGTAGGGTGGAGTGGCCAAGCGAGGAAGATGAACCAGGCTGCGGAGTCTGGGCCATGGGAGCGGAAGGAGCGGCTGGGTGCCGGGGGCTTTGGCCACGTGTGCATGTGGCAGAACAAGGTACCGCCTCTCCCGTCTCCCACCCGCACACACCTCCCCCTTCCACCCGCTGCCAATACGAGGATGGTTATTGAAGCCAAAGAAATGCACAAGTTAATTATGGTGATGATGACTTCATTACAACACGGTCTACCCACAATGCAATGTGCCGGCGACATTTTATCATTTAAATTTTAACACAAAATGAGTTTAGTAATAAGACGTTTTGGAATATTGAAGAGTTGTCTATTACTCAATAGCTACTAACCATATTCCAATAAAAAATATCCCGGAAACCTTTTAAAAATGTAATTAATATCAAGTCTCATAGACAGTCTCCAATTCGTTTGCGCTCTAGCTCCCTATGGCCTTTATTCACGTGCTTTGAAGATGAGGCCCATTGCATTGTAATGCCAATGATGAAATGTCCTAAAAAAAATGTTGCGTTTATTATCGTATTACATTTTTTAAATATATACAGTGAGGGAAAAAAGTATTTGATCCCCTGCTGATTTTGTATGTTTGCCCACTGACAAAGAAATGATCAGTCTATGATTTTAATGGTAGGTTTACTTTAACAGTGAGAGACAGAATAACAACAACCAAATCCAGAAAAACGCATGTCAAAAATGTTATAAATTGATTTGCATTTTAATGAGGGAAATAAGTATTTGACCCCTCTGCAAAACATGACTTAGTACTTGGTGGCAAAACCCTTGTTGGCAATCACAGAGGTCAGACGTTTCTTGTAGTTGGCCACCAGGTTTGCACACATTTCAGGAGGGATTTTGTCCCACTCCTCTTTGCAGATCTTCTCCAAGTCATTAAGTTTTCGAGGCTGACGTTTGGCAACTCGAACCTTCAGCTCCCTCCACAGATGTTCTATGGGATTAAGGTCTGGAGACTGGCTAGGCCACTCCAGGACCTTAATGTGCTTCTTCTTGAGCCACTCCTTTGTTGCCTTGGCCGTGTGTTTTGGGTCATTGTCATGCTGGAATACCCATCCACGACCCATTTTCAATGCCCTGGCTGAGGGAAGGAGGTTCTCACCCAAGATTTGAGGTTACATGGCCCCGTCCATCGTCCCTTTGATGTGATGAAGTTGTCGTGTCCCCTTAGCAGAAAAACACCCCCAAAGCATAATGTTTCCACCTCCATGTTTGACGGTGGGGATGGTGTTCTTGGGGTTATCGGCAGAATTCCTCCTCCTCCAAACACGGCGAGTTAAGTTGATGCCAAAGAGCTCCATTTTGGTCTCATCTGACCACAGCACTTTCACCCAGTTGTCCTCTGAATCATTCAGATGTTCATTGGCAGACTTCAGACGGGCATGTATATGTACTTTCTTGAGCAGGGGGACCTTGCAGGCGCTGCAGGATTTCAGTCCTTCACGGCGTAGTGTGTTACCAATTGTTTTCTTGGTGACTATGGTCCCAGCTGCCTTGAGATCATTGACAAGATCCTCCCGTGTAGTTCTGGGCTGATTCCTCACCGTTCTCATGATCATTGCAACTCCACGAGGTGAGATCTTGCATGGAGCCCCAAGCCGAGGGAGATTGACAGTTCTTTTGTGTTTCTTCCATTTGCAAATAATCGCACCAACTGTTGTCACCTTCTCACCAAGCTGCTTGGCAATGGTCTTGTAGCCCATTCCAGCCTTGTGTAGGTCTACAATCTTGTCCCTGACATCCTTGGAGAGCTCTTTGGTCTTGGCCATGGTGGAGAGTTTGGAATCTGATTGATTGATTGCTTCTGTGGACAGGTGTCTTTTATACAGGTAACAAGCTGAGATTAGAAGCACTCCCTTTAAGAGTGTGCTCCTAATCTCAGCTCGTTACCTGTATAAAAGACACCTGGGAGCCAGAAATCTTTCTGAGTGAGAAGGGGTCAAATACTTATTTCCCTCACTAAAATGCAAATCAATTTATAACATTTTTGACATGCGTTTTTCTGGATTTTTTTGTTTTTATTCTGTCTCTCACTGTTCAAATAAACCTGCCATTAAAATTATAGACTGATCATTTCTTTGTCAGTGGGCAAACGTACAAAATCAGCAGGGGATCAAATACTTTTTTCCCTCACTGTATGTAGCATTTCGGTGTTTGTAAGGTTGCAATGAATATGTATACTGCTTTTGTCTTGACTTTATTTCTAACGTTAGTTCCTTTTTTGCATATGCGTCTGCAAATTTATTTTGATAATTGAAGTGGCACGGTTGGATCAAGCATTGGGTGTTTCATGTCAAATTCATCACCGAATCTGGAAGGCTAGCGTCATTTTTTGATTACTGCACTTGTTTGCCATGGAAGTCCTCGCTGAGTTTTGAAAAACGTTTTATTTTCTGGAGGGCCTTGCCAAGTTTTCGCAGTAGGGGGTGATGTTGCTACTGTGTGATCCAAATTGAGTATTTGCAAGTAAATGTTTCAGCATTTAAAATTTTGGCCAATACCAGTTACACTGTTTTTTAGCTCATCGGATCAGTCAGCTCTGGCAAGGTCCAAATCTGCCTTCTCCTCTGCTCTGGTCGTAATTGGTGCTTGGAATTTTAGATCCCTTTTTAGTGCTGCCAGCTTCCTCCTGCGTGCCCAAAACTCGGGTTACTCCATCACATTAATTCTTTCATCACTCAGAGTCGGCGAAGGACCGTTGTGACAAACGTGTGACCTGTTGCGACAGCATTCACATAAACTGTTCCGTCACTGTCAGTTGCCAAATGCAAACAACCCAGGTTTCATTTCTCACAAAAGTACCCAAAAAGAAATCAGGATTTGCATTATTGTGCGTGCTTCTGTCTGCTCAGCACCTTCCTTGAATATCCCTAAGAGTGAACTTGAGATTAATAAAGATGTTCCTGGAATTGCTAAGTGACACAACTTGAATGAACCAACATATGATTTACATAGGCATATTCTAACACCACTCAAAATAGCATGTGGGTCTATTTGTGCTGTAGTTGTCCATGAGAAGGCATCAGGTAGTTATTTATGCCGCTTCCAGCTATCAGATGACAACACCGAGATGTTGGCTTCTATTCTGAATATCTGCCCGATATTCAACTAGGTTCCGCAAGGTGGCAATATGATTTATTTCTGCCTTGGTCGCTGATTATTGCCCAAGCTTAATGTACTTAATCATAATAAAGGTTTTTAATATTGCTTTTTAATTCGCACAATTCTATCCAAATGTTGTAAAGCGGTGACGTTTATAACCGTACGAGAGTCCATTAATTCTTCAGTCGTGATGTCTGAAAACTCTCTGGTGCCGGTAAGAGTGGGCAGTTGCAGTCTTTATTGGGTCTTCCAGAGCCTCTTCCTGACACGATAACATGGGACTGCTGTCGGCAATACAATTCGACAACATTCCCCCCACCCCTCCGATATTATTGGTAATAGAATACACATTTCTTCTTGAAAATATAAGTTGAAGCTGAGGATGAAGGGGGTGTCTAGTTGGCAACATTCAATATTGACTTAGGATCATGCATTTTCTCACTTCTCTTCAGTTAAATCTGAAGCCTTTTTCTCCCACAGACTTGGCTTGTGGTGTAAATATTTAATCAAGTTCTGTAATATTATTGGTTCTTTCAGTAAAGTCACGTAGAAGGGAAATCATAAAATAATACAAATAAAACAATACAATTCTCACGACGTTTCGATTGCAACACAAGCAATCATCATCAAGTGTGAAAACCACAGCAAGAAAATTTTAAAAAAGTGGCAGTTTTTTCTTAACGTTAGCACCACGGAGAGCAACTGGCGGTTGTTCAGACGGACGAGTCCATTTATGCTCGGAACGGAGGAGGGGGGAGCTAGAAAGAGAATGGAATGCGGTCTGAAAGTCACTGTAAGCGTGAACACAATCAATTATGACCCGAAATGGTTGATCAAATCCTTCCAATAATTGCTAAGCTAGAATCCTCTTTCTAGCTCCCCCCTCCTCCGTTCCGAGCATAGATGGTCTCGTCCGTCTAAACAACTGCCATTTGTTGTCCGTGGTGCTAATGTTAAGAAAAAAATGCCACTTTTTTCAAATTTTCTTGCTGTGGTTTTCACGCCTGATGATGATTGCTTGTGTTGCAGTCGAAACGTCGTGAGAATTTTATTGTTTTATATTTTTATTATTTTATTGTTTCCTTCTACGTGACTTCACCGAAAGAACCAAGAATATGAATCCCTGCAGTTACGAAAGCTTTAAATCGAAAAAGTTCTGTAATGTTTCCAAAAATCATCCAGTCATGCCTTTGTATGTGCATTGACATTTTAAGTTTGCTGCTTGAGGAAATAAAATGCTAACAATGCTGTCCACAATATAGCAATCTGTGAAATACTATACAAATAGAAAGCGGAAATCCCCTTCTCCAAGTGGCAAATAAAAAATAATTACATTGCAGTGTTGTAGTTTTTTCTTCAAGAATATGCTTTGCCTTCGCCCAAGCCATATATATACTCATTGACTTTCCACCACTGGTTCAGATCCACCATTGAAAGATGAGCAACCACCTGTTAATCACTAGTGCAGAGATACACTTTGGCCTGAGTGTAATCGCTTTACACACACATATATAAAGAATTGCTGGGAAAGTATGTTGGGCCCCCATACTTGTGTACGGCTACAATATACGTGATGCACGAGTTATCCAAATGGTCGTGAGTCTCGTGCATGTGTGTGGAGCTATACATATCAAGGGTGGCAGTATGGTATGGAACGCGATATTATTTTTTTCCTCGAAAAAAAAAACCCTTTTTCATACCGTGCCTTTGAAAAAAATGTTGTACTGTACATTTAAAAAAAAAATTTGTACCGTAAAATTTCATGCCGTAATTTCGTACCTTACATCGTACCTAAGAGAAAAAAAGCTTAGAAAATAAGGTATAGATGACAAGCAAGCTTTATATATATTGTAGGAAGATCCTTTTTTAAAACCCCAAAACATATGTTAAAATGTTTGATTTTTTAGTTTGAATTGACAAAAAAACATTTTAATCCAAATTCGAATTTCGATATATTGATTACACAAAACGCTTAATTTTTTATCCATTTCCAATGGTGGTAAGTGGAATTTTGAGAAAGGAATCTTGCCTGACATTTTAATTTTTGACAGCTGATGCGTTAAATTATTGTAACTGCCTTTAAAGACGAGAGTATATTGATGAATTATCAGAGATTAAGAAGCTCAGCTTCTTAATTAGTTGATCATCTGAGTTGGTAAAAAAATATCGTACTTACCATACCATGCCTCATGATAAAATATTATACCGTAATTAGTAACAAAAAAAAATCCCACTCTTGATACACATAAATTTTGATGCATATGTTGAGTGGCAGTTGGAATGGCAGTTTTAATGTAAATTAAACTATTACTATTTTAATTTTATTTTACCAGGTAAGACCCACTGAGCTATATATGTCTTTTTCCGAAGCGACCTGGCCACAAATAACACGTGGACATTTATGGAAGCTTTAATGCTCTTCATGCATGTTACTAAATGTGGAGGGAAAAACCAGAGGACCCGGAGAAAAATTCACGCGACCACAGGGAGAACACGCAAACCCCAAATTTACAGGTATCAGGGTCGGGATCAGACCCATGACATCTTGTGTACCAGCCGAGGTAATTTAATATCTCGCCACTGTGACGAGATGTTAAAAGACAGTATTCAATAAATATGGTCTAAAAAGCCAGCACTGTGCATATAATGTGAAGACTTCCACACCCCTTCATTATGAGGACCTTTTCATAAGCAATTCCGTTAAAAAGGTTTATGTCTGCAAATTCGTGACATCAACTGCATATTTCTAGGAATAAGGCCTTGTTGCGTGGGCAGAGCCGGCTATTTTTACAACGCCCTACAAACCTTTCATGGCAGGAAGTGAAAATGCTTTGTGATAAAAACATTTCTGGGCAACCTAAATATATTGCTTTGTTTGTATGACTACGTGAAGGCACTCGTAGAGTGGCTCTCTTTTCTTAAGGTACCTTTCTATTCCATTAATTTGGGCCAGGCACTGATATAAATTAAAAAAAATTAAACACACAGACACCTGACCTACTGAGCCTGAATGCAGGCTCATTAGGTCTGCATCTGATGAGCGGCTACCAAGCACAATCACAGGTGTTATAGGTTCTGTGGACGGCAGAGGGCAGTGCGGCAAAACATATTCTGATACCCCCCCCCCCCCCATCTTCATCAACCTGCACTGACCAACGTGGTAAAGTACGGACAAATAACCCTGTGCTGCCTTGCGACTCCCTCCAAGTGTGCATTTTATTGTACTGCCAAGATGAAGTTTAACGGACGAAATAGGGTCTTGTTTATGTGAGCAATAATTATGTAGTTCAAATGTATGGATTGTCGTGCCTATTCTCAGTGCCACATGCGAGCGATGTTTCTCACACCAAGCAAAGATCGGCGAGTTCATCGTGCTCGCACTGAACGAGCCAATGGGTTCGGTGCCCGAGTGTGTGGGGCTCAGGTGATCGTACGGTGTTGGACCGAGGGGTGCATATTGCGTTTCTCAAATAGACAGATTACGTGGTTTGAAATGTCACCGTTGTGCAAATGAAGAAGAGGCACCCACACACTCTCGAAACTCTCGACATGCCATTTCTCAGTAGTGAAGCAATCGAGAAACAACAAGACTGCAAGCCAGTACATTCAGTGAGTGTCTGGGGGTGTTTTTTTCTTTTGAGTAGATATGTGTGTGTACAGGCGGTCCCCGCTTTTACAACAGTGCTTCCTGGAAACATCGTCGTAAATTTAACTTTATTTTTCCATCGATAGTAGAAACGGTAGAAACATCACTTTCCGTTGTGTTTTTCCTTTTATGGGCCATATTTAATGAGTCAAATATCCACAAAAACACTTGATAATAACAAAAGCTGCATGCCAAGTGACATCGCAAACCAGACTGACTGTTCAAACGCGTTCGGAGTCATCTCGGAAGATGCGTCGTAAGTCGAGGTTTAATGTGGCTTATAGTAAATTGGACCGCCTGTATTCGACTGTACATATGTAAACATAAAAAAATGACTGTTTATCCTTTATTAATAGTGGGTGATAATAATTGCAGTTTATATAGGGTTTTTCATCGTAACATCTCAAGGCGCTTTACATCAATTACATTGGGGGGGGGAAACAGGGAAAGAAGGGGGACTGAGTTAAAGTTGAAAATGCATTCCGAAATAGAAATGTGGAAATGGGTGAAGGAAATATTTTCTGATTTCTCAGATGCATGGAATTTAAATTAAATTGGAACGTAAATGATACAGTTTTCATGTTATAACTAGCTTATTATGGTCCAATAAAAATACCTGATTTGGAAATGCGTTGTGGTTGAGTTCAGGGAAAAATTCCAATGTTCACCATCTGCTTTATATGTTGAGGTTAGTGGATCACCTACAGATGAAACCATCTAAGCTGTATATATATACGTGTAAATGTAATGTTAATATTCATTGAAGAAACGCAAAATCATGCTAACAGCGTCTCTAATGCATATTGCTGTCTCGCCACGCTGTGTTCATCAAATTAATTTTAAGCTCTCGAAGGGTTTAAACTCAAGGTTTTGTGCACGAGTTTGTCGGGCAGAGACTCCTTTGCGACAGGGCAGTCTGATGAGGATGTGTAGTACAGTAAGATTGTTTTCAAATCCTACTGTAACATATTTCGAGTGTTCTTGTGCGCATTTTCAAGGAATTGGCCCAAATGCCAAATATGTCCATCCTATATAAGAGTTTTAAGAATCACTGTGGGATTTAAGGTATAAAAAATTTATTTGGGCTTTGTTGAGGATTACTTAAGGGCATTAATTGAGTTCTATATGTGTTTGTGTGTTTTCTTTTCATGCGAGTGTAGGAAAATGGAGAGCAGCGAGCTGTCAAGACCTGTCGGATGGAACTGAGTCCCAGGAATCGGGAGCGATGGGTTCTGGAGATTCAGATAATGAAGAGGTGGGTTTGTTGACTGACTCAGGGCTGCATTGAGGGGTTTCGGGGTTGATGTTGCTATGTACAGAACGCAGGTAGAATGATGTGTGCATGACACTGCTGTTTACACTGTTGCACGTTTGTTGCTTCAAACGAAAGGGGCTAATACCACCATACTACATTTTTTTTTTATTTTACCAGGTAAGGCCCACTGACCTATTTAGCTCTTTTTCAGAAGCGACATGGCCACAATTGATAGCTCAACGAAGTGGCTCATCATGTGATGGGAAAAACTGGAGGACCTGCAGAAAAATCCAGTCAAAAGTATGCAGTCGTCATTGCTTCGCGAACAGCCGCGTAGTCATTGCTGTTGTGAAATTCCAAAGTTCAACGTTCGCTGTTGAAGTGAATTGTAAAGACCTTGTGACGTTTTCCACCGTAGATGCCCATTGTGTCCCAAGTGAACCGTAACGATAATAACTCCCCCCCCCCAACCTGTGTACCTGGGTCTCCTTTACAAAAGGGGCCTCGTTACTTGGCTTGAGATGTGTGGTAATTTTTCGCCTCCGTTACGAGCCGATGAGTCATCACAATTCAGAGGTGCGATTTGATTCAACCATCATGCAGTGCATGCAGAGGAGCCTCTGCTGGCTTATTTGCATCATTGACATACAAAAAGTACGACTAATCGATTCCTACACACATATTTCAATGCGCCTGTCCTGAGCCTCAGAATACATTCCAACCCGTGAATGATTACGTGCACATTAGCTACATTGGGAGCTGTCTTAACTGAGTTGGTTCCCACAGTTTCATAAAGGACGATGAATTTATTTGAAAGTAAATATTTACCAACGTCACTGTCAATTGCTGTTTTATTCAACCACAATTAGTGCCTTCGCCATAGCTTCCTGTGCGTCTAATGTCAGCACACTGGTCAATGTCTCCGAGTCCCATCATGTCAGTTATTTCAACACTGTTTTTCTTCACTCGTACACCAAGATTCCATAGGTAAACAGCATCGCCTGCGTCTTTGATTAAAAATAAAGAGGAGCAATCGTGCTGGTGTTGTAGTTATGACTATTATCAGTTTGTCATCAAGGCCTGTCTCTGTTTATGGTCATATAGTTCCTCCCCATGCATTGCAGACAGGTTGTGTGATTAAGAGTGGTTATCACCTGAAATGTCACTGATTTAACGTATACATTTTGAGTTTTTTTGTGAATTGTGCACCACTGCCGATACAACGTCACCAAATTATGAAAAAAAACACATTCCAGGTTTACCGGTCTACCCGCTCACCTGGTTCCTGTCGTTACTTTGTGCTTGCGGACAAAATAAAATAACAACAACCACGCTCGTGGTTGGATGTTCGGCTCACTTTAGCTCACACTTGTGGGTGGATGTTCAGCTCACTTTAGCTCACACTCGTGGGTGGATGTTCGGCTCACTTTAGCTCACGCTCGTGGGTGGATGCTCAACTCACTTTAGCTCACACTCGTGGGTGGATGCTCAACTCACTTTAGCTCACACTCGTGGGTGGATGTTCAGCTCACTTTAGCTCGCACTTATGGGTGGATGTTCGGCTCACTTTAGCGCACACTCGTGGTTGGATGCTCAGCTCACTTTAGCTCACACTCGTGGGTGGATGCTCAGCTCACTTTAGCTCATGCTCGTGGGTGGATGTTCGGCTCACTTTAGCTCAATCACTTCGCTGAGCACGATTTACTGTGGTGCTGTTTTTGCGTAACGAGGTGCGCTTGACAATGGAGGGGCCTCGTCTGCTGGATCTGCGGCCGAGGGATTCTGCTGCCTTGGGCACGTGGTGCCGTGGTCCAAACCCCCGACTCACGCACGATTGAAAGTTTAATTCCTGCTCGGGAGATGACTCAACTCATCGTCTGGTTTTGGTTGATACAAGAGTAGCACTCTGCACGAGTCGCCAGTGGTTGTCCTAGAAAGATATACTGGCTCCTACCATCGAAGTGTGAAATTCACACCACTCCTTGCAGGGCCACAGTTGGAAATCAGCGCCATCTTGCACTTGCTAGGGCATTGAGACACTTTGCCTCGCCTTGTTTAGCCAGCAGACTTTGCAACAAGCATCAGCCACGTGTATTGCGCTGCACAGGAGGGAAGCATTCTTCTGGCTGCACGTGCAGCCTGTTGCTCCGAGCCATTGCTGCATTTGTGTGGTGTTCGATTCCCATTCAGGATCCACACAAGTGACTTATTCGAACCGGTCCTGAGCCTCCCACAGGTCGACTCAGTCTTAAATGAGTACCTGGTGCGATGCGTAAACATCGCCACTCGGGTGACTTAAGGCGGCCGGTCGTGGTTCTGGCCCGCCCACCCCCTCGTGTGCCGTGCCGGCCGTCACCGGTACTTGTTCAAACTACACGTGGGTTGATCTTTGTCTTTGCGGTGTGTCTGCAGGCTGAACCACCCAAACGTGGTGTCGGCACGCGAGGTTCCCGAGGAGATGGAGAAGGCGCTGGGTCCCAGGGACCTGCCCCTGCTCGCCATGGAGTACTGCTCCGGCGGAGACCTGCGCAAGGTCCGCTGCCCCTTCTGTCCCCACCCCTTGTCCGGCTCCGCGTTAAAGCAGCTTTCGGTGACAATGTACAGAATGCCTAAATGCTACCGCATCTCCGAGCGCTTCACAGCATGCAAAAAACATTGCAGGAGTTGGGTATAAACAGGGTAATTGACGCGAAAAATCAAATGCAAATGGTGCGATAAAATGAAAATAACACTTGAGCCATATTCTTGTTCATATTCTTTGGGTCTTTCGGTAAAGCCACGTAGATATAAAAATAATAAATAAAAATATCACGCCGTTTCGATCGCAACACAAGCAATCGTCATCAGGTGAAAACATATAGCGGGTGAGCTGCTGAGGCAGGATGTTATAAAGGTTTGAGATGGGTGTAGCCCAAGGGTCATAAGCGAAGTGGGCGGGGCTAGAGATGAAATTTGCATGTCAATGTAAGATCGGAGAGCTGAGCTACCTCCACGACGGCGAAGTTGCGGAGGTGGCCATTGTATTGTGAGAGATGAGCATGTGAATGTAAGAAAAACTAAAACCACCGCCACATCGAGGAAAACGGGCAAACGGTGAGCAATACTCACACGAAAATAGATGCATCTTACGTGTTGAATTAAACAAGGGCAGCGGAAGTGTGAATTGCGCTCTGCGCAGTGAACTCTCTTCCTGCAGCCTGCGTTGCTGCCCTCCAAGCAGCGTCCGCGTCTTGTTTGATCTGACTGCGACAGCCTAATTATCACCTTTAAACAATCCAAAACACCTGTGACATTGCGCGTTGCAGAAGCCACTGCGATATAGCCAGTGGAAGAAGGACAACACGCTAAACGCACGGTGCGAAGACCCGGCACACCACCCGATACTTAATGTCTGCGTTGAAAGGTTCGGCGCCTGACAGAATGGCGGCGGTGTTTGCTGCAGGTGTTGCTGAAGCCAGAGAACTGCTGCGGGATGAGGGAATGTGACGTCATGGCCGTCATCTACGACATCTGTACGTAATGAGCGGGACTGATTTTGTCGTCTTATGCGGCCTCAGACTTTTTTTTATTTTTTAAACTCCAAAGTGTTCAACTGACCCTCTTTTTAAAGAAGACTACCAAAGACAATGCATTTATTTTATTTCATAGATACGTACGATACATACCGGGCCGTTTGATGCTTCGTTCACGGAGACAAAAAAAACGCCGATGAAGTCACTGTAATGCGTGCTTATAAAGTGCTGTCATGATATCAGTGCAGCAACATTGCAAATGCACTGCCAACAGTATATGGTATTTTTTCTTCATACACTGTCGGACAGGCTGTCATGAACGGCTTAGTTGTGTATCTACGGATTAAACGCTATTTTTTTGGTTGCGTTTTCTTTTAAGACATGCAGGCCACTTCTTTGATCTATCATTTGTGGCCTGGTCGTGTTTAAAAAAGAGCTATATAAGCTCATTGGGCCTAATCTGGTCAAATAAAAATGGGTAATAGTTAGTACAGCATTTGTAAACTGATGTGAATCGTTCCACACTCCTGTTTGGCCTGTGGGTGGTGCTGTGAACTTTTCGATGTACGTGTTTCTTACTGCAGGAAAGGTGCCTCATTGTCTACACACCCTGACTAATAGCTGCTATGGAATATGTGCCTTGCATTCACGACACCTGGCAAAGAATGCACCTCGCCATAGGCAGGAGATATACATGTGTGTGTGTTTGTGACGTGTGTAAATGTGTACACTGGACAAATGTGGTTCACCCATGGGAGGAACTGTGTTGATTAGTTTTGTTATCCTCATCCAGATGTTATCTAAAATTGCAATATCAGAAAGGTTGTGGAATTCGTTCTTTATAATCGGTTCATTAAGGGTTGTTTGTCTGTAATTACCCTTGGTGAATGAGAATGTGACAAACAAGCATGAATGTAATTTTGTTTAGCAATAATGGGAATGGTGAAAGTGTAACATAAGACTTGTTAAAGATACACACAACCCACAATGGCAATACATAATTTAAGCGCAATTTGTGTAGAATTACTTGCCAGTAACGTGGGATGTTTGACATTGTTCCAACCGTAGGTTATTTGCGTTGCGTATTTTTTTCAATGCATGGCAGTCCACAAAAACAGTTTTCAGGGTTGACGGTGGTCCGCTGCTCCAGGAAGATTGACAACAACTAACCGAAAGCAGTGGGTCTCAACGGGGGGGGTTACGCGGGCCTCTGGGGGTACACGTGGTAATGTCCCAGGGGGTAAGTGAGGTGATTTATAACTGAAATAATGACGTACATGAGAGAGTTGGTGAGTAATCATGTATGAATCAGCCAATATGAAATTACTAGGATAATATTTAAATCCATGTGGTAGCCTAGAACCGTGTTGGGTCAGGCAAGAGGGGTGGTACAGTAGCCAGAATAGGTTGAGAACAACCACTGGCCTAGAGGTGACTCTTTATTCCTCTAGTTCTCAGTGGCATTCACTAGTGGTTTGTTGATCTGACCTCCGTCGGAGTCGGTGGATATTGGGGTAGAATCCAGCCTCCTTGTGACTTTGTTTGTGTTGCCCATCTTTGGCCCCGCAGCCCAAGCAGTGCAGTACCTGCACACCAACCGCATCATCCACCGCGACCTAAAGCCCGAGAATATCGTGCTGCAGCAGCAGCAGGACCGGGTGGGTGCTTTCACGACAGCCACGGTCGTGCACCACCGACACGGCAGCCACGGTCGTGCACCACCCACACCACAGCCACGGTCGTTCACCACCGACACGGCAGCCACAGTCGTGCACCACCCACACGACAGCCACTGTCGCTCACCACCCACACCACAGCCACGGTCGTGCATCACCCACACCACAGCCACGGTCGTGCACCACCCACACCACAGCCATGGTCGCTCACCACCCACACGACAGCCACGCTCGTTCACCACCGACACGGCAGCCACGGTCGTGCACCACCGACACGGCAGCCACGGTCGCTCACCACCCACACGTCAGCCACGGTCGTGCACCACCCACACCACAGCCATGGTCGCTCACCACCCACACGACAGCCACGGTCGCTCACCACCCACACCACAGCCACGGTCGTGCACCACCCACACCACAGCCACGGTCGTTCACCACCGACACGGCAGCCACAGTCGTGCACCACCCACACGACAGCCACTGTCGCTCACCACCCACACCACAGCCACGGTCGTGCATCACCCACACCACAGCCACGGTCGTGCACCACCCACACCACAGCCATGGTCGCTCACCACCCACACGACAGCCACGCTCGTTCACCACCGACACGGCAGCCACGGTCGTGCACCACCGACACGGCAGCCACGGTCGCTCACCACCCACACGTCAGCCACGGTCGTGCACCACCCACACCACAGCCACGGTCGCTTACCACCCACACGACAGCCACGGTCGCTCACCACCCACACCACAGCCACGGTCGCTCACCACCCACACCACAGCCACGGTCGCTCACCACCCACACCACAGCCACGGTCATGCACCACCCACACGACAGCCACGGTCGTGCACCACCCACACGACAGCCACAGTCGCTCACCACCCACACGTCAGCCACGGTCGTGCACCACCCACACCACAGCCACGGTCGTGCACCACCCACACCACAGCCATGGTCGCTCACCACCCACACGACAGCCACGCTCGTTCACCACCGACACGGCAGCCACGGTCGTGCACCACCGACACGGCAGCCACGGTCGCTCACCACCCACATGTCAGCCACGGTCGTGCACCACCCACACCACAGCCACGGTCGCTCACCACCCACACCACAGCCACGGTCGCTCACCACCCACACCACAGCCACGGTCGTTCACCACCCACACGTCAGCCACGGTCGCTCACCACCCACACCACAGCCACGGTCGCTCACCACCCACACCACAGCCACGGTCGCTCACCACCCACACGTCATGCACGGTCGCTCACCACCCACACCACAGCCACGGTCGCTCACCACCCACACGTCAGCCACGGTCGCTCACCACCCACACGTCAGCCACGGTCGCTCACCACCCACCCCACAGCCACGGTCGTGCACCACCCACACCACAGCCACGGTCGTCGTTGCAATCATTGCACAATTGTATGCAATTGTGCAATCATTTCCCACACCTCTGATTCACATGGTTGGCAACGTATGGTGCGAAAGAAGTTCTACAAACATGCTAAAATTTGTTATAGCTGGGTGGCGCAGTGGTATTACTGCACCTCACGGCAAGAACGACGCAAGTTTTATTTCAGACTTGGGAGTCTTTCAGTGTGGAGTTTGTATGCTCTCCCTTTAGCTAAACAAAACACACGATGCTGGATTTGGTAAAAATATCCACACAACCACGGGGAGAACATGCAAACTCCAAATATACAGGTGTCCGGGTCGGGTTTCGAGCCTACGACCATCCTGTGTACCAGGCGAGGTAGTTAACATCTTGCCACCGTAAGAGCTGGGAGTCACTTGGTCGTAGAGTGCCAGTTCACAATGTTAAGGTTGTGATGTCCAGTCCTGGTTGGGTGTCGATTCAGCCATCTTCCCCGAGGGTTGATAAACATGGGTACTACTCGGTGGGTAGTCACCAGTGCTTGTTCTATGGCGAGACTGTCTACCGTCATTGTAAGGTGGAATTTCCGCCATTATTTCAGGGCCACAAAGTGAAGTGTGTATTTCAGTTAGGGACAATCTACGTCCTGAATTTGTAATTGCATTATAATGTGTGCTGCTGTTTATTTTGTTATGCTGCGTTGTTCTCTCTGTTACTATGCTTGCCATTCTATCCATCCATCTGGTATTCACTTTCAAGCAAGTACTACATATGCAATGTGTTTCATGGTTATACAGTGTTTCCCCTCAACAACCGCATAATAACATCAACAGGTCGGCATGCACATGTCCTTCATGAATGGACAATTATAGACAAGCCAGAGTGTGATTGTGGCGATGCAACCCAAACTATAGACCACAGGAAACCACTCTACTCCTTCAATGGAGGAATAGGAAAACCACACAAACTCTCTCGAAGCCATCATAGAGGCCGGCAGACCCGGACATTGGCATTTAGCTCCTGAACACATTGCCATCGTTTACAGGAATATAAAAAGTTTCCCTGGAAAAGTTCAGCGCATACTGTATGTCAGTGTGTTCTTACCTGTGTGAAAAGGAATGGGGGCCCGTTTGCATCGTTAATTCTCTAAAATGTAACATCTCCGTGTCTTCCTGCGCAGGTCATCTACAAGATTATCGACCTGGGCTATGCCAAGGAGCTGGACCAGGGCAGCTTGTGCACCTCCTTCGTGGGGACTCTGCAGTACTTGGTGAGCGCCGGCATCGCCCCCCCCCCCTCCACGGGTGCATCAGGGCGGCCACTTTACCCAGGATGCACTGGTCAGCATGTATGTGTGGGAGCGTTGAACAAAGTGCTCCAGCGCCACGGCCAGCAGCTCCTCCACGCCTTTGTTGCAGCGATCGGCCGCCCTGCATAGGTACGCACAAAATATAAAGATCCCCAGACTGTAAGGGCGAGCGCTGTTAACAGGCACCTATGTGTGTATGTACGTTGAACGTCTTTTGCACCGAACGCAGCCAACTGTGCTAATCGGAGGTGCGGGGCAAGGACAACAAACTAAACACAAATTATTTTCTAGAGAACATAACTACCCCAGATCCAGTAGGGCCATTAGGATAGTTTTATTTTCAACAATTGCTGTGAACAATGAACTGGTTTAACATTTCGATGCAAGGAATTGTGATGCATGAAGTCTTTGACGAGCTTGCAATGATTGCTACGAGTAATGATAATGTTTACTGTGTTCCTGCTTAAAGCATGGGAGTTCTGGGTTTTTTTTTTTACACCTGTTAATGGAGATGAATTTTGTGCGATTAGTTATAGTGACACCTGTATGACATTGGGAATAATCTGAGAGCCCTCAGAGTCCAGGGTGACATAGTGTGGCACTGTCTTTTATATGACATTCACCATGAGGGTGAATGAATCAAGACATCTGATTGTGTGTATTAACACTGAACCATAATAATAATGACGCAAATTGTGTTTGTGCAATCTAGATTTGAAGTTTTTTCGTGACTGCAGGGATCCATACTCTTTGGTTTTTTCGGTGAAGTCGCGTGGGTATAAAATAAATTAAATCACAAATTAAATTCGTGATTTGATTTATTTTATATTTTATACCTACGTGACTTTACCGAAGTAACCAAAGAGTGTGTTTGTGCAGCTGAGGCAGACGTATGACATTTCCGGCTTTCCACACTGCACCACCGTTTATCGCCTCTTCACGTGTCACGCCAGTGCGTGACACTGACACATCGTCAGCATTTATCCTGTGAGGGGAACCCTTAAAACAGACTAATTGCGACATCATTCTAGTAAATTGGTGAGGGCATACGCAAACCACAGCTTGCCTGCAATAATGCTGCTGTGTGTGTGTGTGTAAATTATATCCAGCAAAAGCTCTGTTTTCCGTCACTGCACCATCCGGAATGCTCGATTCACCGGCATCTGTCATAGACGGCAATACAAATCTTCCTTCAAGTGTCCGGAAAAAATTCACATAGCCATCCGTCATCTTGCGTTGCGCTTGTCAGAGATCTGTTGCTTACAAAAGCTTCAGGACACTGCCGCGTGGTGGTGCGAGCGGAAGTCTATACAGTGAGTACCCTACTCTTGTACACTATACTCGAAACTTCCACACTGCTTATCTACAATCAACTTAGAATGTTCTACAACTGACTGGTGAGTACCTCTGTAAAAAAGTATATTATTTCTTATATCATAGATTACAATGCAGGTTTAGCTTCCTTCTTGAAACGTTTTATGTAATTGTAAACATTTGGTGAACCATCAGTATCTCTCACATTACCGGTTGATTTGATTAACCGGCACCTTCCATTCCCCCATGGATGCTGGATAACAGAGCGTCTGCTGTAATAGCAATACTAATTTTCACCCTTTTGTCAATCCACTGCTAGCTGAAGACCTTGGCATACCATGCCAGTCATGGGGCAGTTATTTCATCATACTTCACGATGTGTACTGTAATTAAAACGTGTTCGCCGTGGTCAGGAATGATTTCACTCAGGTCCCACTCAACCGGGTTCACAGTGCAATGAAACACTCTGCCCCCCCCCGCCCCACCTTTTCTGTGTGTGTCCACTTGCAAAAAGTATTTGCACGCATGAATAGATTTGTATGTGTTCCGGGATTTGTTAATGATTTACGTACATTTATATTGGTTCCAATGGTTCACAGATATTTACTCTGAAATGTGTGGTCATGTGTCATGAAAGGTGGCTGGCTGGCACAGATCACAGGGCAAACCTGGGCAGCGCACCGAGCTAGGGAATTGAGATTTGAAATTAGGTTCTCATCATATTGAGTGAATTTGGTCATCAGTAATTACATTACGAATTAACGTATAAAGCAGTCCTATCTTGACTATGAGAGATGCATTTGTATAACGGACAGGTGGAGATGGCTGTTAGTGAATTATCCCTTTTGCTCTTAAATTTCTGCACAATTCTGGCTGTCGCCTGATGAAACTGGTTGTAATTACCGGCAAAACATCGTACTTGAATTGTAAATGTTGTGGGTTTACTCTACAACACACCGGTGTGCTGAACTAGTAACTAATTAAATCTTGACTTAAAGCTTTCGTGACTGCAGGAATTCATATTCTTTTGGTCTTTCGGTAAAGCCACGTAGACAGAAACAAACAAAATATCGACGTTTCGATCGCAACACAAGCGGTCGTCTTCAGGAAAAAGGGGGTTAGCTTCTAGAGACAACTGCTTATAAAGGTTTAATATGGGTGTAGCCCAAATGTCAGCAGCCAATGCCAATTAGTTACTTGACAAACCTTACTAATTGGCCGTGTCGGGTGGTGGCGGATTTAACGACACATAGTTAAGCGATCTAACCCAAACAAAGCCCTCTCATGGATCATATTGGTCGCGAAACTAAAAATAAAAACGCCGACACATTCTTACCAGTGTGCGGACGTGCGCGTGGGCGTGCGTTTCTCGCATGCGTGATCCAGGCCCCCGAGCTGTTCGAAGGGCAGAAGTACACGGTGTCGGTGGACTACTGGAGCTTTGGCACCGTCGTGTTTGAGTGCATCACCGGATTCCGCCCCTTCCTGCCCAACATGCAGCCTGTGCAGTGGTAGGACCCGCACTCCGTCGTCACCCGGAACCACGGCGAAATCCTTCCCCCCCCCACTCCAGCTTCTATTGTGTCTGCCGTGCAGCAGCACTGTGTGGGGTTTTAATCTGATTTAAAAGAATTCAAATGAGTTTTATGATGGATTTCTATAACTTTCACTTGAATACATCTGTGGTTGTGTACAATAATGAATATTAATAATTTCAGCTCGTAACGTGCACAGCGCTCCGCTCACTCTCAAAGAGAGAGCAACACAGAGGCACGAGGCACCACAGACAAGAGAGAAGGTAGCCAGACGGTGAGCCGATGCCAACGATTGTGACCAAGCTCTGCAGTCCTCTACATATTAAGATGTTTTTAGCCAATCAATGACGGGGGAGGCAACTCGAGTACCCGGAGCAAACCGATATGTGCAAGGGAACAACACTGCATCCTATACAGACGGAATAGGTGGAGTCCACATTTCTGCTGTACTGCCTTCCAGCGAGCCAGGCGTGTGGCTCCTCCTTGAAGCCCATGGAAAGGGAGATTCACGGCATTTGTCCAATCCACTAACCCTCGCTGCCTCCACAGTGCTGGATTACAGGCGTGTGCCACCGCCGCCTGGCTATATATATAGATGCGTGGTTGTTAGCAGGCTGCACTACCATTTCCCCTGCGTAGTGAGTTTATTTTTTGCACGTGCTTCGTCACTCGGTGCGGTTTGCTTGGCGTCGGCAGCGTGTGAGATCCAGACGAACTCTTGTGCATGGCCCTGCCGCGACCCTCCATGCACCGTGCTTTACAGTCGGTGCTCAGTCACACGGCGGTACCAATGATCCGGCAAGGTTCTCTGGGAAGATTTTTTTTATTTTTCATAAAAAAATTTTACTTGCACTTTAAATTTCCATTTGCATCAGTGGCGCTAAAAGCACAGATCCAAAGCGGCTCTTTTTGCCGCGTCATCGCAAGGCTGTGAGTAACCTTGTTATTGTTGCGTGACTTGGCCTAATATGTGCGCGCGCGTCTGTTCTTGTGCTTAAGGCATAGCATCGTGATACGGAAAGGCCCCCATGACATCGTGGCTGTGGAGGAGATGAACCGAGAGATCAAGTTCTCCAGCCACATCCCAGCGCCCCACAACCTTAACCCGTACGTGAATATAGTCCCATGCCAGCCACCCCCTTCCCAACCGCAGTTGCTCACGAACACAAAAGCATTCAGGGAAACGGGGGTTTTAAGGATAGAGACATAATAATAATAATGTGAAAAACAAGGGAATATGGTTAGCATTACAGCTTCAAGACCGATAGGTTACCGAGGCTAATACCATGGATGTCACATCGCCCCGCCATCACTTTTATCCTCCTGTCGTATTCTGCAATGGTTGCACTGTCGACACCTGACCTCTAGGGTCTGCTCTTAAACTTACCCAGCTGTGGAGCTGCCCCCTTGGTGGCTAGCCACTGGGTGGCACTACAGCCCAACCTTTCCCTCCTCCGTTCTGTACACGTGTCTTACCCCACTGCAATCTTCTCACGCAGATTACACCTGCGATGCTTTTCTTCCTCGTTGTATTCTGAACAACCCAAGTTGCTGAATCTATCCCATCTCCCTACATCTTCTGCATGTACCTTAACCCAAACACCAGGAAGCTTCTATTTGCTGTTGCGTTTCGGTTTGGATTTATACACTTGTGTTCCTCTTAAATTTTCCATTATATATATTGCTAGATACATCAATCACATTACTCTTGGATGATTATAGCGGTCGTTACTTAGGCTGCCAGATGTGTGTTTCCACACATTACAACCCTTAGAACAATGTTTGTTTTCTCGGTTTTGCACTTCGACTTTAATGTCTGGAAATGTACATCTTTTCATAACCTGATTTAAGTCATCATTTCGTGAATGCATTCCTGCTATACAAGCCAAGTTTAAGGGTTGTGGTCCAGAGTTGATGTTCGAGTCACAGCGACTAATGGAAGGTGACTACAATTAAGGAGCCTGCGGTGATCTCTCTCCGCCGCGCGTTGACGTGGTTGTGCTTTGTTGCTTGGTCTGGCCCAGGGTGTTGGCGGTGCAGCTGGAGCACTGGCTGCAGCTCATGCTCTTCTGGAACGCTCGGCAGAGGGGCGGCCCTGTGGATGAAGGCACGGGACGGCCCACGTGCTTCCTCATCCTCGACACCATCCTCACGAGCAAGGCACGACACATTGCAACGCGCCCTCACCTGTCCGGTCTCCTTTTCCCATTGGCCTAGCGGCATCCATCATTGTTACGTGTGTATATATATGTTGAACTTGGTTCGCACCGTATCTAACCAACCGTGATAATTGGAGGTGCGATCAGCATGGTTAGCTACGTAGTTTGTAACCTGAGGATGTAGAGGATGACCTGAGTTCGCTTGGTCTCTTCAGACCTCGGAAGCTAACCTAGGTAGTACTCGAATTCGTCACCACCACCATGTACAAACAGGTGATTACAGGCTGCTCGACTGTGTGGTGGGCAGTTGAGTGCAACATCCATTGTTGTATTGTACCTCTGTGCTTTCGTGTGTCTATGCTCCCCGTCTCCACCAGTCCGCACTTACCAATGTGGTTTGTGTACGGTCAAATAATAAATAACCCCAACAACTCCCACAGGCACGGGGAACCTCCCATTGACAAAAGGATGATGACAGTAAATATAGTCGGTAATGGTATGGTAGATCAACAGTAGATGCCCAGAAGTTAAGCATGTGTTCGTGTGGGCTGCAGGGATGTCAGTGTTCAACGTTTGTAGGCTGCATTGCGTGTTCATTTCTGCTTAGCAGCAGGTGCGTAGGTTTTGTGACGTTCTCACATTTAGCATCCTGGGGGCCCGAGTAACCAAACTGCTTACACAATTTTAAGACTTGCGTAGGCCGCGAATTTTCATTTTTCAGATTCCCCACTGGACTTGTGTACACTTTCGCAAGAATGCTCGAACGATAGCAGGCAGCCGTGAGTCCACCATTACTCTCTGACACCGTGACCACGTGGAAGTAGAGATCTCCATGTCTGTCATGTTTGAGCGGATGTTTGTGTGTGTGCCCGTGCGGTTTTTGGTGTTGCTGTGTGTTTGTAGTTGTTTGTGCGGTTGTTTTTGTGTGTGTGTAGATATTGTGATGTTTGATTGTGGTTGTTTGAGTGGTTTATGGTTGTGGTTGAGCGTTTGTTGTGGTGTATGGTTGTGGTTGTTGGTTGTTGCTAACATTATTTATCAGGACATAATAAGTGCATAACATTAACAACATTAAATGCGACTATATCATCATCTTTGATAACCTTTCTAACATGAATTTCGATTTAAAGCTTTCGTGACTGCAGGGATTCATATTCTTGGTTCTTTCTTGCTGTGTTTTTCACACCTGATGATTGCTTGTGTTGCAATCGAAACGTCGTGAGAATTTTATTGTTTTATTTTTATTTTTTTATTATTTCCGTTCTACATGACTTTACCGAAAGAACCAAGAATATACTTTCTAACATGCTAAGCATAATTATAACTATGTAATAAACCATTATAACCTTAATATTGCACTCTAATGTATCAACTTTGATAACCTTTCTCACATGGTTAACATTATTTATAATCACATAATAAACTATTGTAACATTACACTGCATTATACTATATCAACTTTGATAGCCTTTCTACCATGCTTAACATTTATAACCACATAAAAAACTGTTATAACATGAACAATATTAAATTCTACTATATTAACTTTGATAACTTTTATAACATGGTTTACATTATTTTTTAACACTATACGTAGCCAACCGTGCTAGTCCGAGGTGCTGGGGAAGGACAATAAACTAAACACAAAAAGCGGTTCATCTTTCTAACATGCTTAACATTATTTATAGCAATATAAGATATTACAATATTACCAACATTGCCTTATACTACCGTCAACTTTGATAACCTTTCTAACACGGTTAACATTATTTATCGCGATATAATAAATAACTCAAAGATGAACAACATTTGCTGTGCTTACCTGTGCCACACGCTCTCCTCTATCGTGTGGCCTCGGCCGCTGCGTCTGCCGCTAAATGCTGCTGGGTTCACTTCACGGAGGTGGATGCCGCCACCCACATCGCAACAAAACAAAGACAAAGATCCCCCGTATAGCCTTAACAGACTCTTGGGGCAAGTGTTGTTTGCGAGCAGCACCTATGAAGGCCGGTACTGTGGCACATGAGGGACGTGGGTGGCCAGCACCACGCCCGCCCGCCTTTGTCTCCCCAGCGGTGATGTTTACACATCGTACCCAGCTACTCATTTGAGGCTTTAGTGGACCTAGGGGAGGCCCAGGACCGGTTTAGATAATCGTCATTGCCTTTTCGCCGTGAGCTGGAATTGAACTCGGGTCGCAGGGTTCGTAGCGCAGCGCGCTAACCACTCCACCTCCACTCCCCCTACACTGCTCATCCAACTTTTCGCACGCGGACTTCGCTCTTCTCCCTGAGAGGAGGAGAAATGGAGTTGCCGCTGCTGCTCTTGCTGCTGCAGCACAAGTAGCGTCCATGGAACTTGGCGCCAAAATCCCCACAGCGGCCGATTGGCTGGAGAGGCGGGAGTGGTGACGTCGTCCGCGGCGACCGCTGACGCGCCGTCCGTGTCTGAGAAAAGGCTGCGAAGTTTTTTTGTAGCGTGACGCAAATCGCCTCCCGCTTAGATTCACGCAATTTTTCGGCAACACAGGACCCCTGGTCACCAACGACTCTGGGGGGGGGGGGAAATAAAAAAAAAGCACCGTCCAAATCTAGTTGTTCGGTTTGTTCCCACCGTCCAATAATGATAATAAAACACTTCACATCGCGAATCGGACGCAATGTTCGCCCAAGAACTCGGGAGGCACTTTGCATAAACCGCTTCAGGTGACCCGCGCACGCGTAACACGAGCGAGCGCCACCCTGGAGCGGGGTTGTGAACGAGTCCGCCGGTTATTTTTCCGTGCAGACGGTGCACATCCTCAACATGGTGACGGGGGAGGTGCTGGCGTACACGGTGCGGCCCGACGACTCCCTGCAGCACCTGCAGGAGCAAGTGATGGCATCCACCACCATCCCCGTGGCCGACCAGGAGCTGCTGTTTGAGACGGGCATCATGCTGGACCCTCGCAAGCCCGTGGACCAGTGCCTGCCCGAGGTACGGATCCCACGCGCGGTCGCTCCGGCGTGTGGGCAAGAAAAGTGTCCCTCCGTGCTGAAATTCGTTTTGTGTTGTGTTTATGGCTATTCTCAACCCGCGCATCACCTGGCGGAAATTCCACATTTTTTAAGTTTTCATGACGCAACCACTTTTGAAAACAAAAAAATAAAAACGGTGAAAGAGTTTTGTGCCGACTTCTAATGTCATCAAAATAGGTGTGAGGCATTTTGTTTTTTACGGTTCAGTTTGCGTCGAAAACTAAAACACCTTTACGTGAAATATTTTAAGCGAGGTACAATTTGCATACAATGCTGGAGTAGAATTCGCAACATGTCCTTGCTTCACTCTGATCGAGACAAAATTGTTGGATCAATAAGGTTACTGATTATTGAATCCAATGCTATAACATTTGGGAAAAGGTGCACATTAAGGGACAGGAACGATTGGCATTAGTAATTGTTAAAAACAAATAATAATATTAAATAATGAATCACATATGGGCGAGTTAATCTCGTCATGCACTCACCACACCCGAGCTCGCCATCACATCAGAAATGGCATCGCATGTTGTCTGTGCCACACGCCTGGACTCATTGGCTGTGTCGGATGGAGGTGGGTTTGCGACGCACGTACATTTACGTGATATATTTTAAAAAACGTTATCATGAATAACCTGCACACAAACAAATTACAAACATTTACATTTTAAAAAAATGAACAAAGGAAACACGAGTTGTGCACTACCATTCTTATCTCGTGGCATGCTGTGCGGAGAATCTAAAATCCAATGCGATATGTGTATATTTTTGTTCGTGTGTGTGTATGTACACAATTGGCGGTGGATGTTTGTTCATGCACCTGTGTTTATTTGTGTGTGTGTGTGTTTGGGTCTTGCTGTGTGTGAACCAGTGGAAGCTTCTTTAAGCACCTACACGTATTTGCTTGTGAATAAAAGTAGTCATCATCACCGGCCATGGGCAATCCACTGCTGGATGAAGGCCTCCCCAAACCGCCACCACCTCTTACTGTCTTGCGGTGCAGTAATCCACCTCAGGCCTGCACACGAACCGAAATTGCATCGCTCCGTCTCATCGATGGACGTCCTCTCCTGAACACGTCCCATGCCCTGGCTGCCACTCCGTCAGTATTCTTGACCGTCGTCCATCATCACCCCGAATCTCACGACTCGAACTTCCCAAAAGTGTAACCCGTCGGGAGTGTGTGGCGCAGTGTCTCATTTATTTGAGTTTCACCTTGTGCACGTCGGAATTATGATCATAGTCTTCATTTAGCCTGGAGAAATCTGATGGGCTATGAAGATATTTTTCAGAGATGTCTAATAGGGAGGGGGCGGGTCAGAAAGTTACAACAACAAACATGTCATTCCTATAAAGTCAAATCGCTGTCAACGCACGCGGCAGGTGGAGCAAATGATTATAGCCACCACTTCCTTTTTCTGAACAGCAGAGGGTGGAGGTCTGCTTGCAGTCCGGCCCAGCAGGCAAACAGAACGGCACATTATCCCCTTAAACATAATTTGTCATTGCAGCTTCGTGGCGGGTTATCAGAGATAACATCCATTGTGCTGAATTGTGAAAATGTTTATAGATCGCAAAGTATCCTGCGGGGAAGAGTGATGACAATGATGACTGTTTAACGCATAGGGTTTCGCGACCAATATCAATAATAGAGATTTTTTGGGTTAGATTGTGTAAATATAAATGTGCCATTAAACCTGCCACCACCCGACACAGCCAGCTAGTAGTAAGGTTTGTCACGTAAACAAAGCGTGCCAATTCGTAAATAGTTCAGAGAGTTTACTCTATGGGCAATAATGACTATAATAAATCCAACATGCCAACTAAGTAAACCCTGTTGTTGTGCAGGGTTGCTGGAACATGTCGCTGGTCTACCTGTTCGACAAGAGCAGGGAGGAATACGGAGTTCAGTTGAGGCCTCCCAAAATACCTGACCTCGTTAGCTACATCGGTAAGTACAATCATCGTCGTCTACTTCGTCGGCCATGTTTATATCTGCATAAGGCACCGTGAGTAAAAGGGCTACCATCATGCCTGATTGAGTGGGTGGCACGTCGCTTGGGGCACTAGCCTCTCGATTAGAAGTTCTGCGTTGAAATCTGCGAGGGGAAAAAAAGATCCTGAGCTGCATTTACTCTCCCATTTGACGCCAATACTTCTCAGAAATGTCCGTTGTGAATAATTGGATATACTTCATCTTCCGTTTATTGAATCTCGGCGATCAATTAACACCTTGGCTTGGGTCTACTTTGTGTGTTTCTATATTTGCCAAAGCAATTTTATCCTTATTGGCAACATTTCTACATTTGCAGGGTAATTATTATTTTTTTTCTCTCCAGAAAATGAGCAATTAGAATCCAGACATTTGGAGCCTGGTTGCAGGTTGCATAGGTTCTAATTTTGTTTTACTCATGCTTTAAAAATACCTCTTTTGCTTTATTTAATTTATTTGCTTTGGTGTCTTGCAGCTGTGATGCACACCTATTATATTTGGATATGCAGGGGTTAATAAATACTGGCTTTTACATCGTCATAAAACCTTCGAATTATTTTCCATTGGTTGCAGAAGTTAATTAAACAACAGGTCGACCCTTTTGCTTGATAGATTGTAAAAACAAAGTACCGAGCAGATGTTATCAGCTGTGCTTGAGTGTCCGGTGAACCCATGAGGTCTGTGATGAACCACAATACCTTGCTGATCGTGTCAAAAAGCATAAACCATCACGCGAACTCTGGTCATCCTCGCAGAGGTAATTGGCTAACCATCGAACAAAGACGGCCACTGCATCGCGCGCTTTCAGATGCTCTTCTGCGGCCGTCTGGAACGCTCTTCCTTTTGATATGAGGAAGCCACTGGAGCTTTGCGCTTTTAATTATAGATTGAAAGCTAATTTCTTTAGAACTGCTTTTTGTGTTTTAGTTTGTTGTCCTTCGCCGCAACTTCAATTAGCATGCTGGGCTACGTAAGGTGCGAAATAAGTTCGACATGCATACATAAACACAACTCGTGTGAAATACTAGATTTGAGGCTTTCGTGACTGCAAGGATCCATACGCTTTGGTTCTATTCGGTAAAGTCACGTAGGTAAAAAAAAATTAAAACAACAAAAATCACGACGTTTCGGCTACAACACAAGCGGCCTTCATCAGGTGAAGTGACCAACCTGTCCAGCGGACACCTGATGAAGGCCGCTTGTGTTGTGGCCGAAACGTCGTGATTTTTGTTGTTTTAATTTTTTACCTACGTGACTTTACCGAATAGAACCAAAGAGTATCGTGTGAAATACACAAGCCCTGTGAATGTCAGTTAAGAACACAAATGTGAATGTATAGAGGCATCAGAACATTTAACTACATTTGTACTGTATCACTTGTGCATCTGGGGGTGCATTTCCCATTTGCACACTGCCATTCTTTTGGTTACCAAGATACATTTGACAAAAACTGACATTTGGGAGGTGGCTGGGTGGCTCATGGGTAGGGGGCACTCATCCGGCACCACAGTAGTCATGGGGATTAATGTGGGTTTCAGTCGCCCCGTGATTAAACTGGCCAACTGTCTTAGTGAGTTGATGGTCTTGGCCTGCTCACTGATGACAAAAATCTTATTGAATGCGAATTTTGCACGTCACCCTTTCCCGTTCCGAGATGCCTGAAAGTCGCAGGGTGGGGCTGTCCCATTCACCGCCGAATCTCGGAACGTGCAAGCGGTTAACATTGATTTTTTATTAAAGAGGCGGTCATATTAACGGGGCCGTAAGGAATCGACCACAAGAAGTGTTTGTTTAATTATTTTATCAATGAATCGGCTTCATCCCAGCTCTATAGGCATCGACCAAAGACGGTCACTGCATCGCACGCCTTCAGATGCACTTCTGCGGCCATCTGGAACGCTCTTCCTTCCGATGATATTTGGAGGCCAAATTAAATTATCTCAATTGAAAACACTCGGCGTGTGCATTCGCTTGCAAACACCTCCCTCAGTGACAGATTTGTAGCATCTGAGTGCGCGTCTCTACCTGGCCCTCCCTCTCCGCCAGTGTCCGAGTCGAAGACGCTGCTGTCGTACATGCAGCAGCGCAGGGCGTTTGGCCAGGCCTACCACTACGTGCGCAGCATGAAGGAGCACCTTGGCCGCCTGCAGCAGGGACAGAGGGCCGCCATGTACGTAAACTATCCGCTGCCCCAACTCGGCACGCAAAGCATTACACCCCTAGTTTAGCCTCGAAAGACTGCGAGAGCAAGTTCTCTTAGCGAATGTTTACACAATACACCGGATACGCATTTAAGGCTGAGTCGACCTCGGGGAGGCACAGGAGACGGTTAAAATTTCACCACTGTTACAGGTCGTGCACGGGAATTGAACTCGGGTTGCCGGGTAAACTACTGCGGTACCGCTGCCCGCACCATTTTACCTGCACATAATTTGAGATTTTGTTTTGAATGAATTGTGGATGTGATTTGAGACTTGTAAAATATTGATGGTGAGACTTGAACACTATTCCCAATCTTCTACGTTGTGACAGTTTCTAAGGTTTGTGTTCAGGGCGGCAGGGCGGTGGCGCGGTTGTTAACACTTGCAGCTCATTAGCAAGAAGTACCTGGGTTCAACTCTCTCCTCGGGCACCTTTCTGTGCGAAGTTTGTATGTTCCTCCCTCTGTTCTCCATGGGTTTCTCCGGGTTCTCTGGTTTCCTCCCCATTTCAAAAAAACAAACATAATTGAACTGGTATTGGCCGAACATCCCATTGCTGAATAATTACCTGCAAAATGATGCAATCGGGATTACACACGGCAACAACATTACCCTCGTCTGCAAAAACCTGGTAGGACCCTCCTTAGAAGTGTCTTGAGACTCATTGAGGCCTTCCTGGGTAAACATGCAGAAAAATAATAATGAAAGCGCGCTTTGGTAATTTCCCTTTAAAATTATGTTTCAATTGCAGTTAAACTATATGAGCCCATTCGTGAACGTTAACGATGAGGCCAAGTAGGTGCTTGATAGCTCTTACTGTGTGCATCTCATGGCAATTCACAGCGCAGAACATTGCTTTAAAATAACAAATAATTATTTTTTTATTTGATCTTGAATTTTACACACTGTTGAAACCACCGTTATGGCTCACGGACTTTAATTGTTGTCTGCAAGGGAATACACTGAAGCTGATGAGATAGTTCACTAAGATTGCTTTATTTTCCCAAAGTGTATCATTATACTGCCACGGCTGCCATGCATGCATGGACATACAAATGTACTTGTTATTTTCACTTTGATTAGTTTACTGACAATGTCCTGTATAAATAACTATATTGCCCTAAAAATCCTGAAGTTTCACTGGGCCATTGCTGACATGCCACGCTAGAGCCTGTGACAGGCCGTAATGGTGAGTTTCACAGCAATCACTGGGCGAGATTCGCTCCTTCTTCGAAAACCATTAAAATATTTTCAATAAATGGCCTTAAATATGTAAATAAACTATTAAATACATGGAAATTATTTCATCGCTTTATCTCATAACTTTCTTGCATCACTTTATTGCTCATCACTTTATCTCATCACTTTCTCTCGATGCAGTCGTGCAGAGTTCCAGATGCGATTAGTGGATAGACAAAATTGCGGATAGCAAGTTTGTAAATAGCGAGGGAATACTGTACTTGGCTCCCTGTGGTCTTTATTCAAGCAAGGTGAGAGATGCGGTAGACACACGCCAGTTTTCACCATTTGAAACGTGGTGCTGTGATGAACACAGGTTCATGGGCTTGCTACATCCCGCACTGCATGTCCAGACACACGCAGACATGCAGCTTGCAACAGTGGAATATCAACTTTCCAGGGAGCCACCACTGCCCTGGCCAAAAGGGCTAAGTGTGTAATGAAGTATCACAATCGAGACACATTCCTGAAATAGTTTTTTTGGGGTAAGATCGTGTTGGTATGATGTCAGTGTTTTTAACTGTAACCCTCCACCCCACAGAGCCAATTGAATCAAGTTGTCACGTCATGGGCAAATATACCGATTGATTAGTATTTTTTTTCAGTAACACCGGAATGTTTAAAAACAATCAATATTCTGACAATGTTGTACAACGTTTAGCTGGAGATTGTATCCAGCATAATCAGGTGTTAATGATGGCTCAGCGACAGCTGATTTTCAACATTCGGTTTAGTCAAACATTGACATTATACCTACACAACGATCTAACCCATGAGACACTAATTATGAATCGATAATAATGTTGGTCATGAAAGCCAACGTATGAATTAAATTTCCTTCCACCATACATTTATTGCAGTGACCATCGGGAGCGATGACTTTGCCCCTCCTGCGCCCTTGATATAACTTGGCACAATAACCTAAAAAGATAAATGTGTGGATGCGTTGGCAGCGCCTTGCTCATGCCGCTAGTCCAGTAGCTTGCAGCTCTGGTTGGTGGATCACGCAGGGACACGAGCCATGACGTGCTTTAGACACCACCTTCCCCGGGCGAGAGAGCAGAGCAATTATTAGAGCAACCTGCCAAACTTGTCCATGCGTAATTCGGCAAGTCTATTCATATCCCACAAGAGTAATTTTAGTCGCAACCTTTAATATCACTCTCCTTTAATAGACTCTCTCACCTGAAGACGATTGCTTGTGTTGCGATCGAAACGTCCTGATATTTGTATGATGTTTTTTTCTCTACGTGGCTTTACCGAAAGACCCATAGACTATGAATACACTCTTCTCATTAACAATGCCTGAATAAAACGGGATGTGGAATGACACTATATTTGTTGGGTGTTGCTGACGACGGCAGTTTTTTATTTGTGCTTGTGCGCCTCTGCCAATGCAGTCCTTAACATTTTACCTTTTAGGTGCTGCTGATGAGTGTTATCGTCCACTTCTGGACGTATTGATTCGCCGTGTTTTAATCTCTGAACATAGAGCACTGATTTTAATGCCGGTAGTCATTGCAGTCCTGTGGCTAATGCTGAGGTAATATTCGCCGAAGATGCATTGTAGTTGACAGTAATTTGTTTCTTCTTCTTGGTCTTCTAACAGTTGTAGCATTTTACAGATTTACAGTTTTTAATTATTCTTTATAATTGGCTGGAGTGCCACGCTATAAATTTGGCTGCTATAAATTTCCACATGATGACAAGTCACTTCATTGGGCAATCATTTGTGGCCAGGTCGCTTCTGACAAAGAGCTGCATAGCTCGGTGAGCCTTTCCTGGTAAAATAAAAAAATTGTTTAGTTTTTAAAAATTGTTTCGTTTTTATTTTAGAGCGATAATGCCAATATTTTGGCCCGGTATTATTTGCATGCGTTTTTATAGAGCCGGTATCCTCCGCTACACATAATCATATTGATCTTGTGTGCGACTTGCACAGACCAAATTTTGATTTAAAGCTTTCGTGACTGCAGTAATTCATATTCTTAGCTCTTTCGGTAAAGTCACGTTGAAGGGAAACAATAAAATATATAAAACAATAAAAATATATAAAACAATAAAAAAAAATTGTTTATATATATATTTTATTGTTTCCCTTCAACGTGACTTTACCGAAAGAGCTAAGAATATGAATTTGCACAGACCAGGACTTTCCACCCTTCCCGAGATGTCCCCGACCTCAATTCAGTGTCCAGTTTGTGCTTTTCCAATTGTGCGGCGATTTGAGACGCCTGGCTACTTTAAACAGCACCTTGGTAAATATATGTTGTTGTTATGTGAATTGAGTTTAAATTAACATGATTATCCACTCCCTCATTCTGACCTACATGCATACATTATAAACGCACACACTGCACCTCCACGCGCACAAACACACAATACACCCCACACGCAACACACTAAACCTCCACGCATGACCACACGCTACACTCCCACGCGCACACACGTGTCGTACACACTACACCCTCACACACGCCGATGCACGCACACCTGCACATACACACGCTCGCTCACCACACGCACGCGCTCTGCCCAACATGCAGGCTCAGCCTCCTGCGCTACAACAGCAGCTTGACGAAGCTGCGCAGCTTCACGGCCGCCCTGGCTCAGCAGCTCAAGGCCAAGCTCGAGTTCTTCCTCAGCAGCCTGCAACTCGACCTGGAGAAATACGAGGAGCAGATGAACTCCGGCATCTGTGAGGGCATGCCGAGTGGGCTCGAAGGCATGGATGGGCAGCCCCTGTGTAGCCCTTTCCTCCTCGAAAGGAAAATGCAACCCAAACAAAAATTGAAAATGTCGTGGCTTTACTGTGCTGAACTAGTAACGAATTGGCATGTTTTGTTTGTGACAAGCCTTACCAATTGGCTGTGTCGGCTGTCGGCGAGTTTGACAACACGTTTATATTTACACGATCTAACCCTAAAAAAACAACCTCTGATGAATAACATTGGTCGCAAAAGCCTGCGTGATACACTAAACAAAACGATTGGGTGCGAATTCTGTTCCAGTATCGAGTCGAAATCCGCTTCTGCCAATAGAAAATACGCACGTTCACCACTTGAATTCTGGCTACGGGCTGATGTGCCACCTTGACAGGTTTCATATTCCCAAGTGCACGCTGGTCTATTTAAATAACGTCGAGCGGCTCCTATCGTGCCCTGCATATTGTGACATAGCCGGGGTAGCCGCGGGGCTGTCCATCCCCTTGTGAATGTATTTCGAGGGGTCTCCAGCGTGGTGGTGGTGTTGTCACTCAAGGGCGCTATGGCAATGCACCTGGGTGTTTCACGGCTGAGATTCGCATCTTTGGCCACGCACATCCTAGGAACAGGGTTGCATCTTCCTGTAGTGACCACAGAGATGGGTTTATTTGCAACGAGCAACCCTCCGTTTTAATGCGGTAGTAGATGCATTACTAAAAAGTGGCGCAGATAAGAGAAAACCACGTTTGAGCGAGGTATTACCGTTCTGAATCACACTTGCGCTATAAAATCAGCCTGCAGTCATCCCATGGCGGGACAAAGAACTGTGATGACGGTACGTCGCCGCATACTGTATCACTATACGGCTCAGATAAAAAAAAAGCGGTTTGTCAGGTGCTCAGAAACCACGTAATAACGGTGCGCATTCCGCATTATAGCGGGTGCGCGTTTTTCACGTGATGACGGCGTGTTCCACGTTGTGCAAAAAGTGCTTCCGAATAGAAGACCAGTGTTATGGTGAAAGCGCGTTGTATGAAAGCGCGTTAATACAAGGTCTTACCTCATTGTGCCATTGAGTAAACGTTGTTTGGAGCCTCTGGTGTTCTTGAGTGGCTGGTGGTTGTTACCATTTGCCACCATCCATCAGTCTCAATCGATCGGCGAAATATGTTTAAGATTCGGGAGAGAGCTCGTTGAGGTTAATATCCCTTGCGAGGCAGACCTGAGTGAAAATGCAATGGGAAAACTTTTAAATTACTTAATGCACCAGAAAAGGAAAAGGCCATTCGCCTGTTCTTTTGAACAGCGCAGATATGCTAAACAGAGGCTGTAAGCCAGGGTTGTCCAGCGTAAAGCAGTCGGGGTGAATGGGGATCTAGCACGCCTTCACTCCATGTGCTCGCTCACCGGTAGTCAGTCGCTTCCTTATCTCGTCACTGCAGTGGCTACCATGATGGCGAGATGTAAAGTCCCTCGTCTGGAATGCAGGAGTTCGTGGGTTCAATCCCGACACTGACAACGTCTGAATATTTGGAGTTTGCGTGTCTCTCTGTCTCCCTGTTGTTGCGGGCATTTTTTTAAGGTTCCTCTGGTTTTTCCCTCCATATTTAGAAACATGGCCGCTTTAAATGTACACGCGATAAGCCACTTCGTTGAGCTATCATTTGTGGCTGGTGGCTTCTGAAAAAGGGCTACATAGCTCGGTGGGCCTGACTTCATCACTTCTATTGCTACGACCATGTCACTGTTCCCTTGAACTTTACTCTTTGGTTCCTCCTCCACCCATGTTGTGGACTCGGTCTCCCAGACTGATTTTCATGTCACCCACACCTTAAACCACCACACTGCAGGTCACAACGCTCCTCTTTCTTCTTCCCTCGCACTGCTCCACTTTGTAATTCCCTCCTGTCGTCTCCTTCCCCAAGTTCTTACGTGAATGCAATAAATGTGTTAACTCGGTATATATTACAAATATGACAGTGCTGTTTTTTTGCTTGTGTTTAGCAGCTGTGTTTAAAAACAAACAAACTAAAACTACAGCCAATGGCCGCATTCTGCCCACCACTGCTTTTCATTCGGCCATTGGTTTCACTGAAACAGGCCGCTGAAATGTGGCCAGCACAGCTCTAAAAGTGTAATGAAATGAGATAATCAATGCACAGCCGCGTTAGTAAATCCGGCCTTCAACGCAGCTCTCAGCTCTGTAAGACTTTAACTCAAAGCAGCAGCAGCAGCCGGAAGTACTTATTCAGAGATACTTCTTCCCAAGATCATGATCAACGCTACCTCCACACAGAAGGCAAAACTAGGGAGATGGTGAAGAGTAAATGTTACTTGCTAGTCCTGTATTGATGAAAAAATAAGAATAGATTTGGTCCTTTCTGGCAATGAAACAGGTGTAAAGATTTTCAAACACCAAATAGATACCTTTTGCAAGGAATCCAGTTTGCGTTAACCACACGAACTTGTGGTGGACATGCAAACAAACAAAATACTTCCAAAAAAAGATCCCAGTATAAAGATCCTGGCAAAAAGGTCCCATTTTGTAGCTGCTCCCCCCGAGCTATAAATGCCTCTGACAGTGCGGTGGCTTTTTGCTGTTCGCCTTTTGGCGTTCTCTGGTCTGACACTGCTGAGACTATGCCCTAAATAAGGCTGTCTGGTGTGTAGGCCAATCAGTTTCAAAGACAATGCAAATCTTATTAGAGCGTGTTTGTTTGCATGTTCACCACAAGTACGTGTGGTTAACGCAAACTGGATTCCTTGCAAAAAGTAACTATTTGGTGTTTGATAATCTTTAAAACTGTTTTATTTAGGGGAAAATTCAGGGTTAAAATATATATATATTTTTCATACTTTGATACTGGCAAAAATAATCCCATCTAGTACTGTATTGGTTGTTCAGCCGTCGGTGTTTGCTGCGTGTAACTTTCGGGCACTTTCTTAGCCGCAGGTGATGAACGAAAGGCATTTACAGCGCACTCGGCCATTTGATTTCCTTAGTAAAATTGATTCTGTTTTGAAGTTCTTAATTTGTCCTTGTCTCTGCTGGCTTGCACTGTGCACAGCCTCAAAGAAGATGCACAGCGCGTGGCTGGAAATGAAGGAAAAGGCCAAGGCCCTGGTGCAGGTAGGTTGCGTCCGCCGTCCGGAGAAATCTTCAAAGCGAACACCAGAACGAGGGATTGTCTCCCATTTCAAATAAGCAATGAAATGCCAGTGTCTTCCTAGAACAACGTTTAACATGGAATTATAATATGAGACCTTTGCCAGTAGCAAGATATAGTAATAGGTTTTTACCCCTTTATCTGGCACCAAAACTGACACCTTTATACAAGGGATCATGTTTGCAATAACCACAACAAGCAGTCAAAATGCAAACAAAAAGAGACAACTCTGATAATGATATGCACTGCCCTTATGGCGTCATCTGGTCCAACACCAGTGGAGACTAGGCTCTAAGAAAAGCCGTCTCGGGTGTGGACCAATCAATTTCAAGGACAGTGCATTATCATTATCAGAGTTGTCTCTTTTTGTTTGCATTTTGACTGCTTGTGTTGTGGTTATTGCAAACATGATCCCTTGTATAAAGGTGTCAGTTTTGGTGCCAGTTAAAAGGGTAAAAACCTATTACTATGGAATTATAATTTAGCGTTTTGGAGACTATAAGTAGCAAAATAAATAAACATAAAATGTGTCTCCTTCCCACATCTGTTTCTCTGTATGAAAACTTTTTTTTTATTTACACATCCCATCGCTCACACGGACTTCTAGGAGTTATTTTTTGTCAGGGACGGTTTCTGACATTCGGTGTCTCATCAGCAGAATCAGGCTTACTTGAAGCAATGCTGGTGAACTGCCACATGTTTCGAGAGAAGGACCCCCCCCCCCCATTGTTAGATATAATTCCTTGTTATATGCAATACTAATGCAAGACAACCATTATTGTGTTACGTATTATATATATATTCTTTGGTCTTTCGGTAATGTCACGTAGATAGGTTGAAAGAAAATAACAAAAAAGAACACAAGGTTTGTTGCGATCGAAACGTTTTTTCGAAACGTTGTAGTTTTTGTTATTTACTTTGAACCTATCTCCGTGACTTTACCGAAAGACTCAAGAATATAAATTCCTGCACTCGCGAAAGCTTTGAATACGTATTATATAGTTTGCATCAAAGTTATAATTGTAGGTAGAGGGACAGATATGGGTAGGAGGCGTACCTTTCTTTTAGAGAGACCCACAGAGGGGATGATAGGTCGAGTTTACCCGCAAGAGGGAATAACAGGTTGACTTTGCCCGTACTGGGATTTAAAATCTCATCCTTAACACGCAAGCGCCGTCAACTCAGCGCCACCCAATTTGGATGAAATTCGCTTGAATGCGATGCGTCTGGGTGGGCTCACGGGGTCAGGGTTGCCGTGTTGGGACGCAGCAAGAGCCCGCTATGCGTTTTCTGGGCGTGCCAGGATTTAGAGCCACATCTGCCTAATCGTGCTTCAGCTGAAGGCTTGTGACTCGCCACACAATTGTGACTTTTATCAGCCAAACGTAAGTTATGTTGGGCTGGTGGGTTGTGCTAAAAAAATGTTTTTTTTTAATCTGGTGAGATAGATGTCAGAGATTTATTTTCTGTTTATCTATAAATGTTGCCCGAGTCGTAATAAATCTATAACCACAAGCAGTCTTCAGCAGATCAGCACAGGGAAGGAATTATGCCCAAATACAACAGAAGTAAAGGTGAATACAAATGTTTTATTTACGTTTTGAAGATCAGGACTTTGAACAAAAAAGTGCCCAAATGCACCAACTTGGCATTGGCTACAGGTGACCTTTTAGATAATATCACTCCGTTCATCAACAGAAGCCCTTTGAAGATTGATAAACATGGCACCAGCTGGCTATCCTGTAGGAATTGCGGACGCATTATACATTGAGTGCGTTCGGGCCCACAAACGGCCCCGTGTTTAGTTACGGGACCTTTTGCCCTGACAGGCATCAGATAGGGGCATTCGGGTAATTTTGTAACTCGGAGGTAATTCTGAAACTGTGTGCCCACAGTTCCGGCACAAATTAGCTTGATGCTCCAATGCTGTGAGATCATTTTCAGCCTCAGATTAACAGATGGTGGGAGCGCTTAAGCGGAAAATCCCGGGTTCGGAGCGCAGAGTAGCCACCTGTAGAGTACCTATCCCCCTTATGTTTCCGCCTTATGTTTCATACCCATGCAAGTGCACGCTCCAGAAAATGGAGCTGTAGCAAACACTAGTTAACTACGGTTTGGATTTTTATAGCATCTAATTGAAACCATATCTATAGCTTCCCCGTAGGTCAATAATGCTGTTGTACCATCCCATGAATGTTTTATAAACATGTTTTAATAAACGTTTATGGTGACGGTGTAACTGGAAATAGGTGGTGGTGAAAAGCTAATGTAAGCTGAAAATGGTGCATGCAGCAGCTGAAATCCCATAAGTGGGAAGTGATACAAATATAAAATGCTCAAACAGTTTATCTATAGGCCAACAGGTGCGTCGGCATTTAGCCACGAACACCACATCAGCGCTTCACTACCATTGTTGATCTTTGCACATCGCAGAGAAAGTGCGAGCACATTTGAGTGAAAGGTTTCTTTACTGTGGTTGGACAGTGCAATGCATTATCACGGTTATCCATCGCCTGTTGGTCAATTACCAATCTTTGTTGTCATCTTTTTTTTTTGAAACGTAAAAAATTAAATCGCTTCCCCTTGCGCTGCGTAAACCAATCCCTTCCTTGCGTCACCGCCCGCCCGCGCGCTCGCTCGCTCGTCATGGTGCGGATGCATTCGGTCGGTCTGATTCCGTCCATTATCGCTCATTAACATATCGGATGCGAAACTGTTTATTGGCGTGTGCTGCCAAGGCCAAACTGGGCCATTGCTTTTAGCTTGATTTGGTCATCTCGTTGGTGTCTGTACGGCTTTATATCGCATGTGGTTTCACTCCGTTTCTATCTCCGTCATCTTGTCCTTGCATCGTTAGGTTTAGCATCAAGTTGCTATCCCGCACCTCCACTTGGCATGGTTGGCTTCGTACGATTTCGAAATAAGTTCAACATGCATACGTACATACATATCCGGGTTGTTAATTTGTTATCGATGTATTGACGATCCTTTTTGGAATCGAAATTTTATTTCATGGAACCGATAATCCGATCCAATTCACTTTTCGTAACGATTGAAGCGATTGGAGTGCGCGGACGTTCAAGCTGCATGGCGTAAGCAATCAATCCTTCAACTTTAAGTCACCTCTTAAGTAAACTACACGGTGCTTTTTAGGGAGACACTTGTTGTAGCTCTCCTTGAAAATGTGCGACTTCCACTTCCAACAGAGTAATTTGAGTCAAAAGTGACTACGGATGTAAATCTTTGTCAGCAATGTTTAGTGTAGATAACATTTAAATAAAACTGAACTGCTGTGGTGGCTGGGCGTCTGATGAGTCGGAGCACTGTGCTGGCACCACAGAGAGTCTGTTCTGATCATGGCGATCACCCGTGATTAAACTGGATTCTCAGATGTAGCGAGTTGATGGTCTCGGTCTAATCAGCACTGACTGCACAAAATAACCCGTCGTATTATATTTGCTTTTTCTCTCAATTTGGCTGAATTCCAGCTCTTTGAAATGAAAAAAAATCCCAGATCGACTGCCATGCAACAAATAATTATCTCTAGCGGGGGTGCATGAGTGAGCGCCTCGAGTGTGTGGATCACAATATCTCTTGAAGGCGATATCATGTTCCAAGGGCTGTTCTCCAACACGGCGTGATGCACTGTTCTGCGAGCGTTCAGAACAGACGCTTGCTCTGATGACATTTACACTAACGATAGCAAGAGTGTAATCTCAAACCTGGGGAAAATACCAAAAGTATTATGCTGACAAAAATGTAACTGTTTAATAACGTTCAGAGTTTTTTTTTTTTATCATATCCCAGAGCAGAGCTCAACTGGATATAAATCACCCGAGGGAATTATAAACGCGAAGAGGCTCAAGGAGGCAATAGAAGTTTGTGTTTTGGGAACATTGGGAACATTGCCTGTTAAAAGATAATAAACCCAGCACCGCTGGTGAAGCTTAATATAGCCGTGCGATGAAAATCAACAACTCTGCTCCCCGACGACGTTGGTGCCAGGGTCTCGAGTTTTGCATCGGTTCCAGGTTGACCAAACTCAGATGGCAGACCGGGACAATGCCGTTGCCTTCAAGTTAGAAGCTGCCGTCTTGATCGTCAACGATTTTCTTTGGCGACGTACGTCGCGAGTCCCGTGCGCTTATCGGGTTGACCAAGTTGATGTGTGGTTGGAGTACAGCAGCCTCTTTACAACGGGCCACAGAGCACGGGGGTCACAAGTTGACTCGTGCAGAATGTATCCCCTCTGTGTGACTCCAGTTGTTTGGGTTCAAGAATATAAAAAAAAAATAAACTTGCAATACACCATTGTCTCACCTGCCACGCCAGGAGATCAAATCGCGCTGAACGTTATACCTCGGGGTAGCATCCCCGCGTTTACGGACGTTGTAAAATGAGAGCCTCGCGTTTACCCCCCCGCCGCCCCCCCTTCCCTTGAACCCAGAACACGGAGGTGGTGGAGGTGGACGAGAAGCTGTTGGCCGTGCAGGGACAGATCGTGGCACTGCAGCGCAGCCCCACAGCGCGGCGGCAAGGCGACGTGCTGGAGAACACGTGTGTGACGCCACCCACGCCCCCCCCCCCCCACCACCACCACCCACATCCCCCCACCTCCCCCCCACCACCCACGTCCCCCCACCTCCCTACACGTGCGTGCCACCACCCCTCCCCATCGCCCCGACACGTGCGCCTGCCGCTTTTCTTCAATCCTACGCTTCCCCGTGCCCCTCGGTCGTTCACTCTCCACGACTGTGGGTAGTGATATAGCGCACAGCTTATTAGAGAGTACCCTCAATTTGTCTTATCCTGTAAGTAAACTCGGGCTAAACGGAGAAGCCACCTGTTGGTAAAAGATGTGTTCCCCGCTTACATCTTCATGCCCCATCTGCACACACGTGGTCCCAACCTGAGTGGGAGCAGTGAGCCAAATTTTTCCCCTTCATTGGGCACCTTTTATTTTTATTTTAGTTGTTTTATACTTTTACGTGACTTTACCGAATAGAACCAAAGAGTATTGGGCACCTGTCGCGCCGAAATCGAGCGGGGGTTGCTGTCACGGAGTTCCCACCCCGTTTTGCGGCGGGCGTTTTGTAGCAGCCTCGCGTTGAGTTGTAATAAAAAAATGTTTTACCACGTGGTGGCACCAGCACTGGGAAGACGAATGTGACCCCCAGGGTGTTGCTGGATACATGACATTCACGTGCTTAAAAGCCACTGTCATCATCATCATCCCTGTCTGTCTAACCACTCTAAACAACGGATTTTTTTTTTACTTTTGCAGGGAGCAAAAGGCAATGGAGCTGTACAAACAACTGCGGGAGAAGCCGAGCGGTAAGCACGCTTCAGTGCGCGCGATGTCCTGATCGTTTTTCAGGGGTTGAGAGGGAGGAGATGCTTGGAAAACAGCAATTCTTTCAGTTTAACACATAGTAAGCGTTTCACGACCAATATTGTCCTTGATAGAGGTTTTTGGGTTAGATTCCGTCACTATAAACGTGTCGTGAAACCCGCCACCACCAGACACAGCCAATTAGTAAGAAAACATTCCAATTTCTTACGAGTTCACACCTGTGTGTTGGTGTATAAAACCCACAACATATACAATGGGAGCACGACGTTTCGCTGGTAATTACAACCAGCATCATCTGGTGACAGCCAGAGTTGTGGAGAAATCCTGCTGTGTTGGTCTTAGCAATTCTTTGTTTAATTCATATAGCGAACGTGTTAAATTATTTCTTTATTGCTTCTTGCCAGCTTGGTTGTCGCAAGGCACAGAGGACTGCATTGCGTTGTTCAGGCAGCGGCTTTCCAGCATGCTCCATAAGTATAAACTCTGCTCCAGGGAGCATCCAGAAATTATATATTAAAAAAAACACAAAACACACAAGAACCCCAAGGCTGTTATTGTAATGCACAGCACAACCACACACCACATCATTAGTTTTCACGGCAATCAATGCTATCATTTTCTGGGGTTTGTCTCCTCGAAATCTCCATATGAGATCTCGATATGAGATTTCTGTTAAGTTGGTAATGTTCTTTTTACGGCAGTGCTGAGCCAATTTTAAAACTAAAACTATTTTTTATTTTACCAGGTAAGGCCCACTGAGCTATATACCTCTTTTTCAGAAGTGACCTGGCCACAAATCAGAGCTCAACAAAGTGGCTTATCGAGTGGAAATTTCTAGCAGCCCACGACTCTGAACGCATGTTGATTTTAAATGTGGAGGGAAAAACCGGAGCGCCCGGAGAAAAATTCACACGACCACCGGCAGAGACAACACGCAAACTCAATATACAGGCATTGTCTGGGCCGGGTTCAAACCTGCGACCTCCTGCATACCAGTCGAGGTGGTTACTATCTCGCCACCGTGGCTGACCACAGGGATTGTACCCTTTCCCCAAGAGGCTTTTGCGCCAAAGCAAGAAAGCGGCGAGGATCGCCAAAGCGTGAAATGGCTCGCCGTTTTAAATTCGTTATTATTTTTACGTCGACGTTGAGCTTTGAAAAACAGCACAGTGGCTCCATGTAAATGCCGCGACATCATTTTACACTCTTCACTTACAGCAGAAGTTCACGTTACGAATTCCTCTAGTAAAAATTACTGGGCGGCTACAGGAATGAAACGATCCACTCCGATGCTGGCTCGGTGCTGAGCATGCTGAGCAAGTGAAGTGTCCTCCGCTACCTATTGCTGTTCGCCCTTAAAGTGATTGCGCATCAATTTTTAAATCAAACCAGTCAATGTATTTTCAGCAAGCGTACCAAGCGCTTGTTATAAAGTGCTTTTGCCAGCGTGCGTTGTGCTAAATTGGTTAATTGCATCACTTTTTGGCCGGAGGTTGTAGGCTGTAATGTAAAAAGGATGCCTCGATTATAGTCAATTCCTGCCTTCAAATTACTTCTATAACACAATTACGTGCCATGTCCGTCGCATGTGCTATTTGTAACTCAGGCTAAACATGCTCACGGAGCCTCCTCAGGAAGTATACAAATGGAATCTGCATTAGGGCAAGTTGGTTGGTCTAAACATATCTTCTATATAAATAAAGCCCTTAATCTGTATGTCTCAAAACCTCTAGGGTCCTTCTGGACAAGGTAGAAAGCTGATACGTGGTACATTCGTAGCTTTTAGGACACAAACAACAGAAAAATAATAAAATCCGAGGTTTTTTTCAGTTTAAGGCCCCCAAATCTCAATTTTAAGTGCCCTGCAAACATTTTTGTGCGTGTCAGAAAATTTAAGGGAGAACCATTGTTCGATGTTGATTGTTTTTGAGATTTTTCAGATTCAAGCCCTAAATCCGCATTTTATGATGTTCAAATCCGAATAATTTGATAACGGTAAAAGATAGGAGAACTTCCCCTCATAGAGTATTAAGTTAATTATATTTTGGTCTTTCTAATAAAAAAGGAATGGAATCTTTAAATTCAGTGGTTACCCAGGGGTATGTCTTTAAATTAAGAAGTTGAATCAAGTCGTCAACAATGGTATTTTTTTGCGGAAACATACACATTTTTGGAGTAGTTCGTGTCTGATCATAGATAAACATTGTAAAAAATCATCACGTTAATTCTTATATTTATTGAAAACTTTTGCCTGGCAAAGACAGGCTTTATGAACGAGTATAATATATAGTTCTTAAAAGCAGACATTCGAAAAACTTTTTTTATATGATAAGTACTGCTTGTGCAGAAGTGTTTATATTTAGACAATTTGCAGGCCAGCCAATTGCGTGATCGAGCTGAGTTTAGAAAGCATCTTTTGCTATGGAACGCATTTGGTTCCATCAGATTCCGGAAACACAAATGAATATCAAATACTACTGCCATAATAGAGGTTTTTGGGGTAGATCGCGTAAATATATAAATATGTCATTAAAACCCGCCACCGCCCGACACAGCCAAGGTTTGTCACGTAAACAGAACATGCCAATTCGTCACTAGTACAGCACACCAGTGTGTTGGAGAGCCAAGCCACAACATTAACAAACTGAGTACGACGTTTCAACAGTAATTACAACCAGCTTCATCAGGCGACAGCCAGATATGTGGAGAAGTCTTACTATACTCTTTGGTTCTATTGGGTAAAGTCACGTAGGTGAAAATAAAATAACAAAAAATCACGACGTTTCGGCCACAACACAAGCGGCCTTCATCAGGTGAAGGGACGAGACTGTCTGGAGGACAGCGCTGGAGTGAGAGAAGCCACGCTTAGATCACGACCTTTAAGCTTAAAGTGAGAGAAGCCACGCTTAGATCACGACCTTTAAGCTTAAAGGTCGTGATCTAAGCGTGGCTTCTCTCACTCCAGCGCTGTCCTCCAGACAGTCTCGTCCCTTCACCTGATGAAGGTTGCTTGTGTTGTGGCCGAAACGTTGTGATTTTTTGTTATTTTATTTTCACCTACGCGACTTTACCCAATAGAACCAAAGAGTATGGATCCTAGCAGTCACGAAAGCTTTAAATCTAGAAGAGAAGTCTTACTGTTGCGTTCCTTGTATAGAGGCCACCCTTCTGTGCTCTTGCACAATGTGGGGGGGATTACTGAGGCAACGTACATTATGCATGTGCATTATGCAAGCCCTTTGAACATGTCCTTCCTGTCTATTTTGTTTATTAAAATTGCCCTACAAACGGTAATCCCTATTGAGGTACGCTGCCTTTTGTCGGCATGCATTTAAATAATGTATTATATGATGATTCGCTTCCACGCTGCACTAAGACGGTAGCTATCCGAACGGTTAAAGTTATTTAGATTTCTTTCAATTTCGATATATTCTCTAATTAGTCTTGGCCAGTAGTAGCTAGTTTTGCACAAAACTTCAACATGATCAAAATCAATTGAGTGTCCTTTTGGCACGCGTGTGCTGCTACTGCTGACAGTTGCATTTGGGAGAATTTAATATTTCTCTGATGTTCTTTTAGTCTCCTGCTGATCATTCGTCCTGCTTGCCCAACATAACATTTACCACACGTGCAGTTAATCCTGTACACAACTTCTGTTGATAGCTTCGGTAATACATCTTTTGTACCAGATGTGAGATTCTGTATTTTATTTACCGTGCCAAATCTGACTCGTATGTTTGTTTTTGCAAACATCTGGCTAGTTTGTCAGTTACTCCCGCAATGTACAGTATTTTAATCGTTTTAATTATTTGGGCAGTTTCAATACTCTTGTTAGTTGATTTGTTTTTAGTTTTCCCTGTTGATTTGTGCATCATTGTTACCGTTCATTTGCAGCGCTTCTTTAACATGTTGAATTTCACATCTGACACTTTCTTAGCTTGATGAATGAGCGTCTTGATAAGAGCAGATTTCTGTGCGGGGTGATTGTGTGGCTCTGCATTCAGATAGGTGTCAGTATGCGTTTTCTTTCTGTAAACACTGTGTTATTTAGTTTAACACGTAGGCTTTCGCGACCAATATTCATAATAAAGGTTTTTGGGTTAGATCGCGTTATTTATAAATGTGTCGTAACCCTCCACCACCCGACACGACCAAACAGTAAAAAAAGTGTCACGTTGACAAAAGACAATTAGTTTACTACTTTAGCCCACCGGTGTGTTGAAGAGTGAATCCACAACATTTACAGTTTGAGTACGACGTTTCGCTGGTAATTACATCCAGCATCATCGGGCAATTCGCCAGAATGGTAAAGCCCTCACTTGCTCCCAGTCTTAAGTAGAGCAGCAGGGTGACGTCATCATTTAACTCATTCATGTGCAGTGATTTGAGGTAGGGGGGGTATTGTAATTATATAATCGATTGGTAATCAGTCAATGGTTATGATTAGTAATGAGTTGTAGATTAGTAATTAGTTGTAATGTGTTATTGTGATTATGTGCTACGTTAGTAATCCGTAAATTTGTATGTGTTTCCCCTATAATTAATTGTCATATGTATTATTTAATAATATGTAATATTTAATAATATGTATTATTTAATAATACCCTTCCAAGCCGCACTAAGCCTGTAGCTGTCAGAGCGATTAAAGTTATTTCTATTTCTCTCAATTTCAATGGATTCTCTAATTAGCCTTTGCCAGTAATAATTAGTTTTACACAACACTTCAACGTTATCAAAATCAATTGAGTGTCCTTGTTGACAAGCATGTTCTGCCACTGCCGACAGTTGTGTTTGAGATAATTTCATATGTCTTTGGTGTTCTTTTAGTCTTATGCTGATGTTACGTCCTGTCTGTGTGGAGGGTTATGACACATTTATAAATAATGCGAACTAACCCAAAAACATATCCTTAGTTATTTTATATATTTTTTATTATTTTGTTGTTTCCCTTCAACGTGAATTTACCGAAAGAACTAAGAATATGAATTACTGCAGTCACGAAAGCTTTAAATCAAAATTTAACCCAAAAACCTTTATTATGACTGTGTGCTATTTTTACCATTTCGACCCCGTCCGAGGAGAATATCCAGAAATGGTAGAGTTCTGTCAGCTTCCACTTCTACGGTGAACTGGATGGATGGGGTTTGCGAGTTGAGATGATTTAGAAATGCGTTCAGTGTATCTTGGCCATGTGGCCAGACCACCAATGTGTCATCCACATATCTCAACCAAGCAGATGGTTTTAGTGTGCTTGAAGCCTTTACGTTAGTTTCAAAATCTTCCATAAACAAAGGAGAGCCTATTGCTGGTCCTTCCTTTTGTTTATAGAAATCACCTTGCCACAAGAAGTAGGTGTTCTTAAGGCAGTGTTCAGCTAGTCTTGGGATATCTTTGGCTAAACCTTTGTTGGTTACCAGAGTGTCGAGTAATTTAATTGACTCGTTGACCGGAACCCTCGTGAACAGAGAGGTTACATCAAAACTTACGATAATAGAATTTGGATTAAGGTTAATATCTTAAATTATATTTACGAGATGTTCAGGGTTTCTGATTAACGAAGAGGTCCTTCCGATGTAGGGCTGTATTTGTTTCGTTACTTATTGTGCAAATTTGTAAGTGGCAGAGCCTATTGTACTAACTATGGGTCTTAATGGGACATCAGGTTTGTGAATTTTTGGTAGCCCATGAAGTCTTGGTGGTTTTGATGCCCTTGGTTTGATCAGGTGTTGCTCTTCCTTGGGAATTGGTGACTTGGCAATGATTGCCGTTGTATTACGTTCCAAGGTGCTGCTTGGGTCTCGTTTAATTTTAAGGTGGGTACCTTCATCGAGTAAATCTTTGATTTTATTATCGTTGTCCTCACGGGGCATCATAACAGTCGATCGGCCCTCATCAGCAGCAAGAATTTGTATATCGTTATTTGCTCTCAATTCTCTTAAGGCTTTTGCTTCACTGAAGTTAATATTTGTTTTTGGCAATTTGCTGTTCTCAATAATGTTGGCAACCTCGTGCCTAGTCATCTCAGCTTGATTATGAGTGAGATTTCGATTTAAAGCTTTCGTGACTGCAGGGATTCATCTTCTTGGTTCTTTCGGTAAAGTCACGTAGAATGGAAATAAAATAATAATAAAAAATAAAACAATAAAATAAAATTCTCACGACGTTTCGGCCACAACACAAGTAGCCTTCTTCAGGTGAAGAAACAGGTCTGTCCAGAAGACAGCGCTTGAGTGAACACTGTCAAGCATGGACTGCGTCTTTTAAGCTGTGTGGGCGGAGTTAACATATGAATTAGCATGTTACCCACAGCCCCACCTCCGGAGCGGAGGAGGGTGGCGGCTGGGCACAGAAAAAAGCAGAACAGCCAAGGTGCGCTGTTCTGTCCTGTGTTGCATTATAACTATGCTATAAACTGGACTACAATACAATATTATACCTTCCAATCTAAACTACATGGTACAACATCAAATCGATAGATAAATTCCACCTTTGAATTATACAATGCGTTACTTTACACTACCCTATACTTTAGACTATAAAATATTAGCCTTGTAACATTACACTGTCTTATTCTATGAACCCAACTATATGCCACACTGCTGTATATTCACTATGCAATTACGATACTATATATTGCCTTATGAATTATGTTAAACATTACAATGTTATACTATTTATTATTATTATACCACATGCTATAAACCATACCATTAACCGTGGTGTGAGAGGTATTAAGAGGCAGTGCCAGTGAATGGACTGGTCTGAAGGTCACCGTAAAATACAATCAATTAAGGACCGAAATGGTTTATAACAGCTTTCCAATGGTTACTAAGCAGAATCCATTTTCTCGGTTGAAATTGTCTCTGTGTTTGTATATGTGGATGGCCTCATGAACGAATCTCTCATGGTAGCCGGATGGCTTGCAGAGAACCTCCGTCTTGGAGAAGTCTATTTCATGTGAGCCCACTGAGTTATAACAGTGATCTTCCACGGCTGAGGAGTTCGTCCTACCGTGTTTCAAGTCTGCTTTATGTTCACGGATGCGGTCCGAGATATGTCGTTTGGTTTCTCCAATGTAGCTGCTACCACAGAGGCAACTTAGTTTGTAAACGCTCGGGTACTGTATGTCTGGAACCACATCTTTTACAGACGGAACCAGATCACGGATTTTATGTACCTTGTTGAATCGGACATGGATCTTGTGTTTATTTAGGATTTTGGAGATCTTTTTTGTGACCCCCACAATGTAGGGTAAGGTGATGGTTTTGAATGTCTCCTCAAGAGGATCCTTCATGACTGGAGTGATGGCATTGCGGATTGTGTGGTTGGAGTAACCATTAGCCTTTAGAGCCTGGTGTACGTGTTTGAGTTAACTGGCAATGTGTTCCTGGTCGGAAATGCATTGGGCTCTATGGTATAGAGTCTTGATGAGGGAGTTCTTCTGGGATGGATGGTGGTGGGAATCCGGTTTTAAGTAAGCATCCGTATGGGTAGCTTTCCTGTAGACAGAGTGGCTCATTGAACCATCAGGTCTTCTTTTAATTAAGCCATTCAAAAAAGGTAGCTTGCCATCTTTTTCGACCTCCATGGTAAATCTGATGGCTGGGTGTATCGAATTGATGTGGTGGAGGAATTGGTCTAGAGCAGGCCGGCCATGTGGCCAGATGACAAAGTGTCATCCACGTACCTCTTCCATAAGGTCGGGCGTAGAGTGGCAGTCTGGATGGCGTCAGTTTCAAATTTTTCCATGAATACGTTGGCTACAACTGGAGACAGGGGGGAGCCCATTGGGGTGCCCTCAGTTTGTTTGTAGAAAGTTCCATTCCAGGTGAAGTATGTGTTGGTTAAACAGTGTCTCACCAGGGGGGGGGTACATCAGTATGCAGTCCTTGATGAACCAAGTCTTCGATGATTGCGATGGTGTCAGCGGGAGGTATGGAACCCGCAACAATCGCCCTTACCCCATCGTTACCCCAACGTTGAGAGCTCCTTGTGTACGACGCGCGTGACCTTTTGTGACCCGGCGTTGATTTCTGGCCATGCTACAGCATTGACAATTGATGGCTGAGACTTGCCTGGGTTTCCCGTGCCTCGGCTCGGCTTCAAACGTTCGTAAGGTGCAGCATGTCAATGTTAGCACTCTGACATCCGCTCGCCATGTGCCTTGCCGACCTTAATGGGTGCTCGCCGACAGCTGTGCAGTCGGTCGGGCTGATATACTCGGGCATCTGTGCATTGTTTTGCAGACCAACGGGTGTATGGAGACAGCGTGGAGATGGTGAAGCTTATAATACATGCCGTGCAGAACCTGGAGAAACTCATGAAGGAGCTCTGCCTCTTCCTTGGGTACGTTTGTGTCTGTGTGTGCGTCAGGGACAACAGGATTGGGGGAGTGGGAGTGTAGCGGCTAGCGCTACGCTGCGCTAGAAACTTCGGCGACCCGAGTTCGATTCCCGCTCGCGGCCGACACCAGTGACGATTATCTGAATCGGTCATGGGCCTCCCCTAGGTCGACTCGGCCTCAAATGAGTACCTGGTGCGGTGTGTATACATCACCACTGGGGATACAAAGGCGGCCGGTTGTGGTGCTGGCCACCCACCCCGTCGTTGCTGTAACTGCCTTCATAAGTGCTTGCTTAACAGCACTTGCCCCAAAAGTTTTTGATTGCTATACGGGGGATCTTTGTCTTTTGTCACTGGAAGTGAGATTGTGATTTTTGTTGTACGTGTGATCACAGTCAGACGATCGTGCGTATTGCGTGCCAATGACCGTGGGGGTTTTGATTTGTTTTGCCTGTTCGCGTGATCACAGTAAGATGGTGGTTTGTAAAAATGAGATCAGCTCGCTGATGCCGCGCCTGGAGGAGTCTGTGGAGTGCATGAAGGAGGCGGACCGTGCCCTCACACGCATGCAGGACAAGCGGCAGAAGGACATCTGGTCGCTGCTCAAGTTCGCCATGGTGGGTGTGGCTTGCACGATCAAACCTCCCCCCCCCCCACCGTGCACTCTGTTGTCATAGCAGAGGGCCGCCCCCCCCCGATCACCACGCGTTCAAATCCTCGCTAAGGTCAACCTGATCCCATCGTCGTCGCTATCGGTGTCATCGCTTCACGGTGGGTACAGTGAGAGCCCCGCCTGGTGAGGCTGCACCACCTCGCAGGAAGTCGGCGCACAATGGTTGTTCTGTAAACCGGTGCCCGTCATAGAACCTTTGGAATGTCGCTGTTGGTGCCGGACCAGCGAATTAAATCAAGTGTCACCCAGCTTCCTTTTAAGCATGGGCACACCGAGTACATGCGTACGCACTCACCACGATGTATCGACACGTTGATTCTTTTAAGTGCAATTTGTTGTTTTAATATATTTCCTTTACCGTCATATAAGGTTCCGCTGTGAAGCAATATTGGACAGTTGTATAAGCCATCCATCACGTTGATCAAAGAGGCACTGTAGTATGAAAATCCATATCCTCTGGGTGTGTGGAGAACGGGTGAGGAGCGGTAGTGCAACGTTTAGTGCGCTGCACTACGAACCCAGTGACCCGACCCGACTTCAATTCTCGCTCATGGCCAACACCAGTGACGATTGTGTGAATCGGTCCTGGGCCTCCCCTAGGTCTGACAGAGCTGGGAGGTTCACCTGCAGGAATCCCGATTTTTTTTCTATGGGTGATTGCCATGTAAAAAAAAAATCTACATTCAATTTTTTGAGAGATGCCAACAGTGATCCTGCTGTGGTAACATTGGTGCAATAGATGGGGAATCTATTGCGATTATTTAGCGAATTTATTTTGGCTAGTCTAAGCAGGTTGCTGGTTCCAGCCGGCCACTATGGCCAATTTGGCCAATTGGAACGTGCTGATGTCACTGCCACTTACTTGTACCTCCGATTAGCGTGGTTGGCTACATACGATGTTTGCTGTACTGTATGTGCGGATAGCCATGGTGGAATGATGAGTGCATTGCACTGCGATGCTGGCGATCTAGGTTCCATTCCTAGCAGGATTGTTAATATCGGAAGTTTTGGCATTCCCGGTAAATGTATTGTTTAAACCGGTTATCAGTTTCCTGTGCAGATAGAAATGTCGAGCAAGAAGCACGAATGTTCGCCTCTTAAACTGAGAAACAAGGGGACGTTACCGCCGTGGTGAGCTGGTTAGCACACAGAGGTAGCTGGTTCTACTTCATGCAGACAACACAGAGGTAGCTGGTTCTACTTCATCTAGACAACACAGAGGTAGCTGGTTCTACTTCATGCAGACAACACAGAGGTAGCTGGTTCTACTCCACCCAGACAACACAGAGGTAGCTGGTTCTACTTCATCTAGACAAAACAGAGGTAGCTGGTTCTACTTCATGCAGACAACACAGAGGTAGCTGGTTCTACTTCATCTAGACAGCACAGAGGTAGCTGGTTCTACTTCATCTAGACAGCACAGAGGTAGCTGGTTCTACTTCATCTAGACAACACAGAGGTAGCTGGTTCTACTCCACCCAGACAACACAGGTAGCTGGTTCTACTTCATCCAGACAACACAGAGGTAGCTGGTTCTACTCCACCCAGACAACACAGGTAGCTGGTTCTACTACATGCAGACAACACAAAGGTAGCTGGTTCTACTTCATCTAGACAACACAGAGGTAGCTGGTTCTACTTCATCTAGACAACACAGAGGTAGCTGGTTCTACTTCATCTAGACAACACAAAGGTAGCTGGTTCTACTTCATCTAGACAACACAGAGGTAGCTAGTTCTACTTCATGCAGACAACACAGAGGTAGCTGGTTCTACTCCACCCAGACAACACAGAGGTATCTGGTTCTACTTCATCTAGACAACACAGAGGTAGCTGGTTCTACTTCATCTCGACAACACAGAGGTAGCTGGTTCTACTCCACCCAGACAACACAGAGGTAGCTGGTTCTACTTCATGCAGACAACACAGAGGTAGCTGGTTCTACTCCACCCAGACAACACAGAGGTATCTGGTTCTACTTCATCTAGACAGCACAGAGGTAGCTGGTTCTACTTCATCTAGACAACTCAGAGGTAGCTGGTTCTACTCCATCCAGACAACACAGAGGTAGCTGGTTCTACTTCATCTAGACAACACAGAGGTAGCTGGTTCTACTTCATCCAGACAACACAGATGTAGCTGGTTCTACTTCATCTAGACAACACAGGTAGCTGGTTCTACTTCATCTAGACAACACAGAGGTAGCTGGTTCTACTCCACCCAGACAACACAGGTAGCTGGTTCTACTTCATCTAGACAACACAGAGGTAGCTGGTTCTACTCCACCCAGACAACACAGAGGTAGCTGGTTCTACTCCACCCAGACAACACAGGTAGCTGGTTCTACTTCATCTAGACAGCACAGAGGTAGCTGGTTCTACTTCATGCAGACAACACAGAGGTAGCTGGTTCTACTTCATGCAGACAGCACAGAGGTAGCTGGTTCTACTTCATGCAGACAACACAGAGGTAGCTGGTTCTACTCCACCCAGACAACACAGGTAGCTGGTTCTACTCCACCCAGACAACACAGAGGTAGCTGGTTCTACTTCATGCAGACAACACAGAGGTAGCTGGTTCTACTCCATCTAGACAACACAGAGGTAGCTGGTTCTACTTCATCTAGACAACACAGAGGTAGCTGGTTCTACTCCATCTAGACAACACAGGTAGCTGGTTCTACTCCATCTAGACAATACAGAGGTAGCTGGTTCTACTTCATCTAGACAACACAGATGTAGCTGGTTCTACTTCATGCAGACAACACAGAGGTAGCTGGTTCTACTCCACCCAGACAACACAGAGGTAGCTGGTTCTACTTCATCTCGACAACACAGAGGTAGCTGGTTCTACTCCACCCAGACAACACAGAAGTAGCTGGTTCTACTTCATCTAGACAACACAGAGGTAGCTGGTTCTACTCCTCCCAGACAACACAGAGGTAGCTGGTTCTACTTCATCTAGACAACACAGGGGTAGCTGGTTCTACTCCACTCAGACAACACAGGGGTAGCTGGTTCTACTCCACCCAGACAACACAGAGGTAGCTGGTTCTACTTCATCTAGACAACACAGAGGTAGCTGGTTCTACTTCATCTAGACAACACAGAGGTAGCTGGTTCTACTCCACCCAGACAACACAGAGGAAGCTGGTTCTACTTCATGCAGACAACACAGAGGTAGCTAGTTCTACTTCATGCAGACAACACAGAGGTAGCTGGTTCTACTTCATGCAGACAACACAGAGGTAGCTGGTTCTACTTCATATAGACAACACAGAGGTAGCTGGTTGTACTCCTCCCAGACAACACAGAGGTAGCTGGTTCTACTTCATCTAGACAACACAGAGGTAGCTAGTTCTACTTCATCTAGACAACACAGAGGTAGCTGGTTCTACTCCACCCAGACAACACAGAGGTATCTGGTTCTACTTCATCTAGACAGCACAGAGGTAGCTGGTTCTATTTCATCTAGACAACTCAGAGGTAGCTGGTTCTACTCCATCCAGACAACACAGAGGTAGCTGGTTCTACTTCATGCAGACAACACAGGGGTATCTGGTTGTACTCCACCCAGACAACACAGAGGTAGCTGGTTCTACTTAATCTAGACAGCACAGAGGTAGCTGGTTCTACTTCATGCAGACAACACAGGGGTAGCTGGTTCTACTTCATCTAGACAACACAGAGGTAGCTGGTTCTACTCCATCTTCCGGAGTGGCAGGATCTGTACTCTCTCAACACAGAGGTAGCTGGTTCTACTTCATCTAGACAATGCAGAGTAGCTGGTTCTACTCCATCTTCCAGAGTGGCAGGATCTGTACTCTCTCTGCCTCCTTCTAGCCAGAGTTCGTCATACGGCAGGTCGCCTCCCGGACATTTGTGAAAAAGAGCTTCATAGCTCATCGGATTCCTCCAGTATAAATATTCTGATAAAATGTTTATTTTTATTTTATTGCCCTGACATGACAAGCAATCTAATTGTGCTCGTGATAAGTAATTACTTGCAATTTTTTTAACATGATAAGCACAGGTGCATTTATACTAATTATTAATTTTACACTGTGTAGTAAAAGACACTAACGAGTTAATAAAAAAAAAATCTGGTTTCTGAGAGTAAATTCAGAAAGAACGTTTTCATCTTAGTGACAGAAAGTAAAAAAATAAAACGTTGCAGTGTTTAGAAAATTGCACGTATTTATTGTGCAAGTCCACCGATGTGTCTGCTGCTGTACAAATAAAGCATGCAAGTGTAGAGACGGTGCGTGTGAAATATCTAGTGAATTCCTAGGACAACCGTTAGTCAAATATGAGAATCCAGGAAAAAAACCTGCACTCATCATAGAACTCGCGATCGCATGTTAGGTTCTGATTGTGGCATTGTGGCCGGCTCCTCGCCCGTGTCTCCCACGAGTTGATGTTAACCTGACCAATCACAGCTGGTCCTCTTTTCAGCTTTTCAAAAACGCCACTTTTTTCAAATTTTCTTGCTGTGGTTTTCACACCTGATGATGATTGCTTGTGTTGCAGTCGAAACGTCGTGATAATTTTATTGTTTTATATTTTTATTATTTTATTGTTTCCCTTCTACGTGACTTTACCGAAAGAACCAAGAATATAACTAAAAAGGTTATTCGTCTTGGCAAATAAGGACACAACTGTGATATTTGTAAGTCTGTATGTACAGTAGTCCCTCGTTTTAACATTCCGTTAACGTTAACATGCTGACTAGCGGTGTGTTTACGTTATGCACGCGGTCGCCAATTTCGGCCAATCCGAGCGCTCATAAGTGGGGCTGAGCCATGCCCTCAGCCAATCGGCGATGCCCATTTATGGGTGTTTAGACCTCGACTGGCTTTGTTTGCATTACGCTTTCTGTTTTGGCAGTGGAAACAGCTCTCTTGCAGACTCATGCCATCAGCGGTCGTCTTGGAACGGATTAAAA